TGTTTCTCTACTATGGATAGAATCTTACTGTTCCTATTGTATGGATTGTCCAGCACTCTTCTCAAAGGCTATCGGGAAGAAGAGGTGAATAGATCCATAAAAGTTCTTTCCCTTTTCCCCCTGTGCCTTGTCTCCTCCATTCATCCATTAATTAACACACAATTTTGGAACAATTTGTCCAAATTCTCTGGTGTGCCTTGATTCACTAATCCATTCCTGAGTTGTTCACATGTTCTTCTTGGAACTGATCAACTAGAGCAAGGTCATTCCACCACATATCCCTGGCATACGGTTGCAAATCTGATACACTCTCAAACTCTTTGAGGTTGCCCTGTTTCAGCTTGCAAATCTCTCCATTTCCTGTTGCCGTCCTGAGTTCTTAAATGCAGCTATAAATTTTTGCATGCAGTTCATACTTATCCAATAACAGATCCACGCCTTCAATGAGTTCATTTGGCTGGGGACACTTTGAGGATGTTCAGAACAAAAGTTATTCTGGAATGATCTCTAAAAAAATATGCTTGCTAACATGCCCTAGACCAGTGTTTCCCAAACTTGACAATTTTAAGGCATGTGGACTTCAACTCCCAGAATTCCACAGCCAGCGTTGCTGGCTGTGGAATTCTGGGAGTTGAAGTCCTCATGCCTTAAAATTGTCAAGTTTGGGAAACACTGCGCCTAGTCAATTTACAACGAGTTGTGAAAGTCAGAAACTGGTCCTGGGTTCTTCCAATGTCTCCAGAAAACTCTTGAGAGTGAAGAAATGCCACGTAGGCTGCAGTTGTTGAGCTGCTTCTGGTTGAGGCAAGCAGTTTATATTGTATCCCAAATGGAGAATTACTTGTACCACGATCCACAATGGTTCAGCAAATTCTTCTGCAAACTTGAGTTCCTTAAGGATTGGCTGCCATTTCCATAATCAAAGACAAGGGCTGATGTTTCTCTGAATAAAAAGTAGGAGGCTTTCAAAACAGGTATCAGTTCTTTGATGTAGGCCAGGAAGCAGACACCATTTGTTGTTGTTGTTAATTGCGAAGTCGTGTCCGACCCATCGCGACCCCATGGACAACGTTCCTCCAGGTCTTCCTGTCCTCTACCATCTTCTGGAGTCCATTTAAATTCACACCTACTGCTTCAGTGACTCCATCCAGCCATCTCATTCTCTGTCATCCCCTTCTTCTATTTCCCTCAATCTTTCCCAGCATTAGGCCCTTCTCCAGTGAGTCCTTCCTTCTCATTAGGTGGCCAAAGTATTTGAGTTTCAACTTCAGGATCTGGCCTTCTAAAGAGCAGTCGGGGTTGATCTCTTCTAGGACTGACCGGTTTGAACGCCTTGCAGTCCCAGGGACTCGCAGGAGTCTTCTCCAGCACCATAGTTCAAAGGCCTCCATTCTTTTGTGCTCAGCCTTTCTTATGGTCCAACTTTCACAGCCATACATTGCAACTGGGAAAACCATGGCCTGGACTATGCGCACTTTTGTTGGCAGGGTGATGTCCCTGCTTTTTAGAATGCTGTCTAGATTTGCCATAGCTTTCCTCCCCAGGAGCAAGCGTCTTTTAATTTCTTCGCTGCAGTCCCCATCTGAGGTGATCTTGGAGCCCAGAAAAATAAAATCTGTCACTACCTCCATTTCTTCCCCATCTATTTGCCAGGAATTGAGAGGGCTGGATGCCATGATTTTGGTTTTCTTAATGTTGACTTTCAAGCCAACTTTTGCACTCTCCTTCTTCACCCGCATCAAGAGGCTCTTTAGTTCCTCTTCACTTTCTGCCATTAGAGTGGTGTCATCTGCATATCTTAGGTTATTGATATTTCTCCCGGCAATCTTAATTCCAGCTTTTGATTCATCTAGCCCTGCCTTTCTCATGATGTGCTCTGCATATAAGTTAAATAGGCAGGGCGACAGTATACAGCCTTGCCGGACTCCTTTTCCAATTTTGAACCAATCAGTGGTTCCGTGTTCGGTTCTTACTGTTGCTTCTTGACCCGCATATAGGTTTCTCAAGAGACAAATGAGATGGTCTGGTACTCCCATCTCTTTAAGAACTTGCCACAATTTGTTGTGATCCACACAATCAAAGGTTTTGCATAGTCAATGAAGCAGAAGTAGATGTTTTTCTGGAACTCCCTAGCTTTCTCCATGATCCAGCGTATGTTGGCAATTTGATCTCTAGTTCCTCTGCCTCTTCGAAATCCTGCCTGTACTTCTGGAAGTTCTCGATCCACATACTGCTGGAGTCTAGCTTGTAGGATTTTAAGCATAACTTTACTTGCATGTGAAATGAGTGCAATGGTGTGATAGTTTGAACATTCTTTGGCATTGCCTTTCTTTGGAATTGGAATGTAAACTGACCTTTTCCAATCCTGTGCCACTGTTGAGTTTTCCAAATTTGCTGGCAAATTGAGTGTAGCACTTTTACTGCATCGTCTTTTAAGATTTTGAATAGCTCAGCTGGAATACTGTCACCTCCACTAGCTTTGTTGTTGCTCAGATTTTCTAAGGCCCATTTCACTTCACATTCTAGGATGTCTGGTTCGAGGTCAATGATACTGGAACTCTTCTCTACTTTTGGAGGGTATAACAACAGAATGACTAAGTTTCATTCTGCATCCTCTTATTCTAAAAAAAATCAAGGTAGGAATATCTTGAGAGTTTCTCATCCCTTCTTCCTTTCCAAGATTAAGCAGAGTTTACAATTTTTGCATTCCTTCAAGGTTAGCTCTGTATTCCTCCACAAAGTGCAGTTAAACGTTTCTTCCTGGATTCTCATAATCAAGGTTTGGTATCAAAATCCCGACAGGACTGTTTTCCTCAGCTGGATTTAACCTCTCCAGTTTACTTATCTTGGTGAATTTGTTTTGGTTTCTACTTCTGTGAAATGAGGGAGCTTGAGGCTCACAAATGTCCTCTCCTGGAAATAAGATTGGCTGATGTTTTTTAAGCTTCTAAAACCTGAATTGTTTCTCATTGCCTCAGGGGGATGAGAAGATGCTTTGGTTTATGATGCTATTGTTCCTTGATTTATTTCAATCTTATAGTATGAATATTTTATTATAATGATACAATATTGTTTATTGCCATGTGGTCTGAATGCAGTGGCACATAAATATCTAATAAATAATCATTCTATTTGTCAGAGTTTACATACACGCCCACAGTGATGATCTGATTTTTAATACCACCAACAAAATGCACCAGTATGATCACATTATAAATTATGCTAGTTCACTGCTGTAGTTATTTGCTAAAAATTAATTCACAATAGATTGTCCCATTTTCTTTGGAAATGGTTGACCATGAATGAAAAATGCTACCTTTGTCACCATTAAAAATGATTTAATAGGCAACAGAAGATCTTTCACGGAACACAGAGCTAGAAATGGAACTGATTTACAGTATGTGAAATAGTGCAGCACTACATATATGTCGAGAACCAATTTGGTATAATGGTTAAGGCACCGGGAAACTGTGAATTCTAGTCCAGCCTTACACACAAAACCAGTTAGGACATCTTGGGCCAGCCACTCTCTCTCAGCCCTTGGAAAAAGACAAGGGTAAACTACTTCCAAAATCTTGCCAAAAAAACTGCAGGGACTTGTCCAGTCACCAGGACTCAAGACTGGCTTAAAGACACAGACATCTCTATAGATCTTATTGAAGAACTCGCCCTTTCTGTATTTGAAATCACTCAGGGTAAGAATAATTTTTGCTGGTGATCAGACAAAGTCTTAACATTTAATGAAAAGCTAGTTCTTAGAAATCACACCAAATGGACCTACACGTCTTCAATTTCATCACAAAGTAGACTGCAAGTATTTCTGATTGCTTTTAAGGGTGGTTCAGAGACTGCCTTCCATTTGACATGCCTTTGTTTTTCCCCCTTGTTTTTTTTAACGCAACATCAACAACAAAGAGTCAAGCAGGGCAAAATAAAATAAGTCGACAATGCATTTTGATTGATTTGTCAACCTTCAGGTATATTAAATCTCTTCCCTTAATGCATCTCAAAGAACTAAGTGGGCAACATGTTTGACTGGAATAGAAAATCTTTTTATTCTTCCATTTTAAGAGTCTGAGGATTTGTATCCCCAGGCTATGAAACAACTAACCACTGGTTTCCTCTACTTAATGCAACATTTAGAAATTATAGCAATAAAGTAGCATGTTTATCTAAAGTGGATACTCCTATTCTTCCACAAAGGCTACACTATATATACATTTTTCCTTGCACCAGTTTCTTAGCAACAAGACAAAGGCATCTATGAAACTGTTTTTAAGTTTTTTGTCTACAATCGAGTATGCAGAGGCAAATTCTGAAGACAACAATTCAATAATACGCATTACTTGCAAATAAATAAATAAATGTGAGTATATGAACAAAACCCTTGTAGTTTCTTCTTTCTATAAGAATAAAGCAGTAATAAATGATGAGTATGTGTGTGTGTGTGTGTGTGTGTGTGTGTGTGTAATAAAAAAGTAACCTATACCATAACATCACTGAGAGAGAAAAAAATATATCTTTATGGAAGAATACACGAAAGCATTTGTTGTTGTTGTTTTAAATGAAGGCTGCTTGTCAAATAGAGACATTTCTTTGCATTTTTGAAGATCCAGTGACCCCTGGTGATAGTCAGGAGGGCCAAATGATGCTTGAGAAGCATTGATTTGCATGACTGCTCCTAGGAATACCTCTTTATCTTACTTTATTATCATTGGTTTGCTTCAACTATTTTTGGGAATGAATTTCCAGGTTAATTGTTGGGCAAAATGTACTCCGACACAGAATTCCACCCAATGCCCTCAGTTCCAACATTAAAGATGGAATTCTGGAATAATAGCAGAGGAAATATATTAATATTTGAACAACCTCTAGAGTTGGAATCCAGATAAGTCACACCAGGCTCTAGGAATAATCATGCCCAATAGCCAAATAACCAAAAAGATTCCTCTTCTACCACAAACTCTACCTCTATTATGATTTAAACAAATCAACGAAAATCCAAATGTAAAATGGTCTTTTTAATTACTAAATTAAGACAGTTAAACATTTAAAAACCATAAACTTGCAAATAAAACAATAACAAAATGTAATTAAGATCATAGCATTATTTTAAAAAAAACTTAAAAGAGAAGTAGAAAGGACTGGGTTTTTTGTTTCTTTTTGGCTAGAAAAAAGGAAGGAAAGAATTCAAGGTCAATAGAGACAACTGAAGAAGTAATACTTCTGTGCATCCCACTGCTCTCATTTCCCAGAAAAGATGTGCATAGTAATTCTACTGAAACACTTGCAGACATATTGAAAGTAATTTCATTAGCAGTACAGGATATTTAAAACACCTATATGATGATAGAAAATGGTACACAGAAAAGATATTCTAGCTGAGCTTGATGAATGAAAAAGCCTCTCAATATGACTAAAAGGCTATGAGGTTGAGACTACTGCATGGGGTTACAATGTTTATTATTTTTTTAAAAATCAGAAAATTCAGTTTACATATTTTGATACACAAAAAGCACTTGCAGTTTCAACCTTCCGGTCCAGACTTTTCGTTAAGTTTGTTTTAATTCTGACCCCAAAATCAAATGACACACTTGGCAAATGTTGTTGAAATGTTGTACATGAGTTTTGAAAGATCAAAACTTACAACAACCTATGGGTATATAGTAAAACCGAACAGTGCAATCCAATTTAAAAAGTCATGCTGGGCAAAAGCCAAATATCCAATCACTGGTTTTGGAATCATCACCAGTGTTCAATATCCCGAGGGAAATCTTTCTGGGTGCTTCAGCATTATGGAATCCGTTTCTGAAATGAATTTCCTTTAGCTATAGCACCTGTGGATTATATATACAGGTATGTATATATTTTACATATTTCTATATATAAAAGAAACAAAACAAAACCCCCAAACACTGGTCCTCATTTTATTGTGTTAGAACATGAAAAAATGTAGACAAAAAGAGGCCACTTCTGGAAAATAATACTTTAGTTGAATCAGGAGAAAACTAGTTAAAATCACATAATTCTGCATTTTTTTTTTAAAAAAGGAAAGCACTAGGATAAATTATTGGCACTGAATTACTATTTACAGTGAACAAAGATTTTGCAGTTTACATAACATTAAAACAATGCAGTTTCAAAGTCTTTGATTAAGAAAAAAACCCCCACGTGTTCACTTTTCTGTTCAGAGAAGATATTCAGATTTTTAGGACACACAGTTCTAGAAGTTCTCATCTTCTGGCTTCAATATATTTGGTGCTCTAAGATTACAGCCTTGAACCATTCAACCTATGTCAATTGCAAATGGAACACCTGATAACCGGTCTGCACAGCCCCCCCCCCCATTACAGGTTATCACCTGGCTGGTACTGTGGTTCAGTTGCCGTAAAGTAATCTTCCAGGAAACCCTGTAAGTATTCAAAAGTTGGGCGTTCTTCTGGGTCTTTTTTCCAGCAATGGATCATGAGCTCATGTAGAGAGATTGGGCAATCCTGAGGACATGGCATTCTGTATCCTCTTTCTACTTGTTCTAGGACTTCACGATTATTCATACCTAGGAAATATAAACAATTTTGAAGAGGTGTAAAACATATATTCTGAGTAGGCTTGCAAAATATTTTTTATTTGAATGTGGGCTATTTATCTGGAAAATGGATCCCCCCCCCCAAATGTTTATGAATGTCTTATCGGACAGGCATCCCTAACCATCACTACTATGTCATGTGTGCTTCATGTCATTGATCTTAAATGATCAATGTTTCCTGACTGAATCCTGAAACAGTCAAAGGTAGCATATTAGAAACCTATCACTTATTTGCATCTATCAATTAAAAAGTTTGATATAACTTTGGTTCTCTTTTTTTTAATTTGTATTTTTCTCTTACCTGGATATGGAACTCTCCCTTTTGTTACTAATTCTGTTAGTAATATCCCAAAGGACCAAACATCAGATTTTATTGTAAATCTTCCATATAATGCAGCTTCCGGAGCTGTCCACTTGATAGGAAATTTTGCACCTGAGAGAACACAGAAATTATCAAGTAAGCCTTTCGTTGTGAATTAATGGCTAATAAAACTATATAATTCAAGAGAATGAAAAAAAAAACCACTACATTCTTGTGAAAAATCTCATCTTATATTTTAATAAATGATCCAATCTGAAATATAATTCAAACCTTTTTATCTGACACTGAAGTCTGAATGCTAACCTTTCTGTTTCTACATCTCTTAAGACATATAAATTCTGATTGTATTTTCAAATAAATGAAAGGCAGAACTTTCAAATAGTATGTTTGTATTCATGGAAACCATATTTATGTTCTAGGATCTAAATGCTCAATTACTTAAGCGTTCCAATTGTTTTCATGATTATTAAGTCTACAGCCCCATTATACACCAATTGTGATTTGGTTAGACTTCGAAGTGTTTTGCTGTAGCTCTAAATCTTTATTATGGCTGGTTGCACAGTCAGCCAGATGTTTGGATTGGATTTGGCATTTTTATTGTCTATCCTTAGGATATGCAGATACTATTGTTGGGTGGTGTTAAAGGTATTTATTTGCAGGATCTTTGTATTTTATTATCTTCTCCAATACTTTCTCTTCTCTTCTGTGATCTTCAAGAACTGCAATGCCCACTTATCGAGACTTTTGGCTTTATTGATAATAGTTAAGTCCAAGATGTTATGCGGCAGAGGCTTGGCTGTCTGAATTCTAAAGTACCGGAGCACTTTAGCTTCTTCATTTGCTATTACTTGGTTTATTTTGTGATATCAATAATTGTTGCTTGCAGGCAGATAATATTTATTGCAGATATTTCAATGCACCATTGCTATGCTATGCTTTATGCTGTTGTTTGCAACCAGTCTATGTGATCTTCTTGCAGCAGCTAATTATATGGGTATTATTATTATTATTATTATTTTGCATTGTGGTCAGTAAAGTAATAAGTATCACTTAGTTTCAAGCGAGTCAACAATTAAACCTGGCTTTCTGTTCTGCTAGAGAATTTAGCTTTGTGCCAAATATAAAAGAGGAATTGAAAGAGGAAAGCAGAAAAATGTTGATACACCTAGGAGCAGGAAAGCAATTAATTTTGATAAAAAACAACACTATTATCTGCTGGAACACTTGAGTAAAATGCTTACTTAACATTCAGGAGGTACTAATGACTGATATTTTTCAGTATTGCAAACTATTCACAGGATATCAAAGATACATGTCTATTGGCTTAGGTCAGGGGTAGGCAACCTTGGCTCTTTTATGACTCGTGGACTTCAACTCCCAGAATTCCTGAGCCAGTTGAAGTCCACGAGTTATAAAAGAGCCAAGGTTGCCTACCCCTGGTTTAGGTGATTTGCGGTTCTAATATCTGGGAAAAACATACATCATTATCAAGAGTAATTTTTCAAAGAATGAATACAAAGATTTATACAATTCCTAGGTAAAATGATTTGTAAAGCTGTTTGAATTTGCATTGTTTCAAATTTGAAACAATTTGACAAAACAAAAAATTCTTTTCAAATTAAAAATGGTTTATCTTGGGTGTGAAACAATTGCTTCGAGCATGAAATGGGAAGTAGTCCTTGATTTATGACCGTTTAACAGTGGTCCAGATTATGACAACTACAATGTGGATGATTTATGGCCTATAAAGCAGGGCTTTTCAACCTTTTCACCCATTGTACCACTTTTAGGATATGGCAATATCCGAGTACCACCAGTCGCCTAGCAAGGTGTCAAAACTTGACCCCCCCCAAAAAGGAAAAAAGTGATAAAGTACAGGTAGTCCTCGACTTACAACAGTTCGCTTAGTGACTGTTCAAAATTACAATGGCACTGAAAAAAGTGCCCCCCAAGCCACAGCTGAGCAAGACACCTGCCTGCCCCCTGGCGGCACTCTTCCTCCTGTCAGAGGTTTTCATTGTTGTGAGCATTTCTGTTGAGAATTGGCAGCTGGGGTGGGGTGGGGGGTGTTTGGTTTTTATTCCCCCCGTCTGCTGGGTGGTTGCAGCAGGTTTTGGTCACTTCACATGACCCTGGGACACTTTGACAATCATAAATATGAATCGGTTGCCAAGCATCTGAATGTAAATCACAAGACCCTGGAGATGCTGCAACATTCCAGCTGATCGGCAGTTCTTCTGGGCTCAGCAAAAGCACCAGGATCAGCGCCGAGCTCCAGCTGGAGCCTGGCGCTGTTCCTGGTGCTTCCACTGAGCCCTGACAGTCCTGAAGAAGTGCCAATCAGCTGGAAAGCGGCACTGATCCTGGCATTTCCGCTGAGCCCTGACATCCCTGCAGCTCCAGCCATCTCTCGCCCAGGCTTGTGCAGTGCTGCCATTGGTTCAGCTCATTCCTCTCCCCAGCTACCACTTTTCTGGGATGGTTGCGTACCACCTGCCAGGTGCCAATGTACCACAGGTGGTACCTGTACCACTGGTTGAAAAGCCCTGCTATAAAGCACTTCTGGCCATCGTAAAATGTTCCAACCTCCCCCCCCCCAGTCATGATCTGGGTGCTTGGCTAGGTACTGTTTGCATTTATGACCGTTTGCAACACCCCCCCCAACATGTGATTGCCATTTGCAATCTTTTCTGCTGGCCTCCCCAAGAAAATCAAGAGGAGGAAGGGCAAGTTCTCCAGTGGGCTGCTGAAATGGAGCTCAAAAGATCTGAGTTTTGTTCCTGCAGCAATTTTGGAAGAAAGGTTCTCTTGATTACGAAACCTTTCTAAAATGCTTTAAAGCAGGGGTCTTCAAACTTGGTCCTTTTATGACTTGTGGACTTCAACTCCCAGAATTCCTCAGCCAGGCACGCTAGCTGAAGAATTCTGGGAGTTGAAGTCCACAAGTCATAAAAGGGCCAAGTTTGAAGACCCCTGATTTAAAGATTTCAAAACCTGCTCAAAACCAGTTTTTATGTTCAAAATGGTTTATTTCATTTGTCAAAATGGCCATTTTGAATTCAAAATACTTTGTACATTCTTATTAGGGAGGTTCTTTCAATTTTCTTACTGGCTATAACTGAAGTTACTAGAAAACCATGTCTGTCCTACAGCTACATTAGCACAATAGAAACCAAGTAATATGTGTAGAGATCACCCTAATAAGCATTTGAGAAAGCATTTTTCCATTTATGCTAAATCTTCCTGTTTTATTAAACAAAATATATCAATTTGCCATTTCACACACAGGACAACCCACCCTCCCAAGTATATCCTCCTTTATGTTTGTAATGATCAAAGTTACTATAAGTAACAGGAGAAACCTGTTAGTAATATTCCCTCCCAAATATTATTTGTTCACAGCTTAAATTAATATAAAGAAATTCTAAGCACCTCACACACAGCAGATCCTCAGAATATATCCAATTTTCCCACTATTTTAGCTAATTGCAGCTATTTCTGCACTCACTGAAAATTCCATTAACTATTTTATACAAACACATAGCCTTTCCATACCTTAACTTTCAATCCCACCTCTACAACTTTTTAGCCTTTCTAGGAAACATCTAGAAATATTTTAACGTGACTTGATCACTTATTTGTTGTTATCAAATTTGGGATAGGGCAGGCTACTGAAGACAGAATTCAGAAATTGCTTTTATTTGCCAATGTACGTCCGTCTCTTGCTTATGATTTATGGAAAATAATGTTGATAATCCTATTAGTTCTCAATTTACAGTCAGCAAAGCTGTTAGAAATCAATACAAAAAGAATCAGATTGAACTCAGAATTTTATGTCCTGCAAATTAACTGGGGATGGGTATCTTAACACCATCTGCTTCCTTTACTAATTTCTTCAGGGATCCAAGAAAGCTTTTTGGGGGATGGAAGAGGCAGGAAGTCAGCCCAGTTAATGTCAAGTACACAATACTGGTAAGAAAAAGAAAAGTCTGTTTTTGAAATTCAGCCTTCTGCTCTTCACAGGGGTGAGCACTTCCTATCTCCAGAACAGTGGTTCTCAACCTTTTTAATGCCGCGACCCCCAACCGGTCGTAAGTCGAGGACTACTCAACCGGTCATAAGTCAAGGACTACTCAACTGGTGCACCACCGTTTGCAGAATGGGACTTTTGGCGGGCTCAGCAGGGCAGAGACAGCCTGGACAATGCCTATTGGCTTTTGAAAGCCAATAGAATTAGACTCTATTCAAGAGAGTCTATTCTATTGGCTTTCAAAAGCCAATAGAATAAAAGGGAGTATCACAGCTAAGGAAAAGGGGGAAAAAATGGCGGACTGCGTTGTTTGGCGACCCCCGTGAAATGGTCATTCGACCCCAAATGGGGTCCCGACCCACAGGTTGAGAACCACTGCTCTAGAAGAACTGCCAGCCTGCGTCACAATTTCCCAGCCAGTTTTCAGTTCCTGCATGGCAAAACCCTACAGGAACACTAACTAGTTAGATAAACAATCAGTCCTCTAGCTGCACCCCAGTGGAAAATCTGTGTGGTGGAGTCATGGAAAAAGAAGGAGGGAGGGAGAATGCATGCCAGAGTCACTAGAATTAAGATACCAAGAGCAGCAGAAAAGCTTTTGATTGCTATATTTTAAATATAAAGAACATATTTAGAGAAACTCTTACTTCTTAAATGCGGTCTATACTATACGAAGAGTAAACTGAAAATGTAACTATGACTGTCTCTAATATACCTCGCTAGTTTTTCAACCTGATTACAGTTTTCACCATGAAAAGATTTCCTATTACATACTGTACGGGTGAATTTTCTAGAATGCAATCAATGCATTTTAACTTTATTTTAATAGGAAATCACTTAGTTCCATTTGTGGAGGTCCTAATTGACCAATAACATATGAAGATCTAGTACAAATAATTAGGATTCCTCATTTTTTTTTTAAAACTGAAGTCACTGTGAGATAACAGCTATTCCAAGATGTGTCCAAAGGCAGAAGATATTTTTAAAGGGGTTCCACCCCCCACCCCCATTTACAGAAACTATTGATCACGAAAGTTGGTAATAAATTATTTATCTTGCTTAAATGTTTGGAGTTATTTGTTTTAAACATTTGGAGATATTAAGCTGTTCTTATTGCAATCTCTCTCGCTGAAGACTACTATTATTTCCAAATTTGCCAGAGAGGTGATACGTACCTTTCCTATCCAGTGGACTTGGCAGTAACAATTCCTTATCTCAAAAATTAAATGCAGATTACATTTAAAACAAGTATGCAACAGAAAGCCATGAATTGGGGGCATGTCTTTCTGCACATAATATTCACAACTACAACAATGGTTATATTGGCCACTCATCCTACCTTGTCTGGCTGTGTATTCATTGTCTTCAATTAATCTTGCTAATCCAAAGTCAGCAATTTTGCATATTAGACCATTCCCCACCAGAATGTTTGCAGAACGCAGATCTCTGTGTATGTAATTCATTCGTTCTATATAAGCCATGCCTGCAGCAACCTGTTTAATTCACAATACGTGACATACACTAGTTAATAAATACAACTTGCTTTCACCTTCACACCTTGGATTAATGACACATTCATATTTACCTGTGCTGCCATGTCTACCAGATTTGGCAATTTCAGAGCTCTTCCTTCACCATCTTTTAGGAAATCTAGCAAGCTTCCTGCAATACAAATAAAAACAAGTTCTTAAATAATATTTGTTTCAAAATAGTTAAAAATTACATTCCTAAACAATGTTAAAATAATAACAACAACAACAATAATAAAATAGAAATTTGCTTTTCCCAAGCAATGGGGATTAAGGAAAAGTTGGAATTTTTTTTAAAAAATATTTTATTAGATTTTATAAGGGTGGGGAAGGGACAAGATCGGTAAGGGTGTTGGATGGAGTTGGGGAGTGAGGTTGGGATAAGGGTAGGGAAGGATACAATAGCGGGGTTACCCCCAACAGTAATTCATTGCTTTAGCAAGCAGACTGTCATCCGGGTACAAATGTTAAATAACAGTAATCAAAATAATGCTAAAAAGTTATAATCACAAAAATAACCGTAATCATAAAAATTAAAAGTTAGTCAATAAATGTTGTTTATTCTACTAGCTAAATAGTTACTATAATACTGAATAATTACAATCACTAATAATAAAAATAGCTGGAAATTTAATCCATTATTAAAGGAAGTCCAAACCATTTCTCCTTGTTTTTTATTTTTCACAAAATCTCTTATACATATGATGTATCAAGTATAGACTTATTTTTCCAATGTTGTGTTAATATTTTTTTTAGCTATTCTCCATATACAAATATAATTCAAAGTTTTAAAATCAGCAATGATTTACAGTCTATCAAAATAATTTTATGGATCATAACTCTGGAAAACCTATACTACATATTTACTTATACTTTGCATATGTCTCCAAAGATCAAAATCACACATGTCATGGAAAATGTCAGGTTAATATAAAATTCAACCTATTGAATACTAGATTTAATATATCAATCCCACTTCAGAGGTAAGAACGTGTTTGATCATAGGGCCCAACTTTTTTATTTGTTTTGGGACTAGCAATAGATAACAGGAAGTGATATAGTGGTACCGGTATGCCTGAATTTCTAGGAATATGTGTTAAGAGATTAGGGAGGTTTGGTTTTGGTGATTAAAGCTGAAGACATTTTAAATATACTTGGAGTAATTCTTAACTTCTGGCAACTGCCTGGAAAGTCCTGAAGTTTTCTTGGCAACATTTTTGTAAGTGGTTTTTCATTATCTTCTTCCTAAGGCTGAGGTAGCCGAAGATAGCCCAAGCTGGATGTAAGAAAGGACCAGAATCCACACTTTCTATTTATTAACCTGTCATCTTTAACCAGACCATTCATCTGGTTCTCTCCTCTGCTACCCCCTCCCCGTTTACATACAACAGGGATATTTTGTGTGTTGATGATCTCCTGCCAAAAACACTATTGCAATTTCTCATGGCTTAAGGAATCACAAGGGATTCACTACTGAATTATGGAAAAGAGCAGAAAATGTCTAAAGCACCATTAGATGTAGGCTTAAGTTCCACATAACTTTGGATTCAGGTCCTTTCCCCCTACAATATAGTTATTCTACCCCTAAACAAAAATAATTCTCTATAATGCAGAACAGAAGGGATAATGTTCCTGGAAAACTGATTTACTGAAGTAAATACCAGATGAAAAAAAAAAGTACATTCTGTAATGTCAGTTTGCATAAGGCAAGCAAAACAAAAAGGAATCCTTATTAGGACAAACAAAGCATTCTATATTATTATTTAAAGAAGCAGCAGTGCCCAGTCATGAGTAAATCATTAAAAGGAACTCTTCCCACCACTTTATCATCTGCACAGAACTTTTGTTTAGATAATATATTTAAAGAGTAAGTTCAGAATGCTTACTTAAGCATTTCTGGAGGGAGAAAGTAGTTTGATCACACAGCAATGCTGAGCTCAGCAAATTCATGAAGCCAGGATATAATTACTTTAGGATGTGGAAATCAATAGCCCTTGCCATTTAAGGGAGAGTAAGATGCAATAATATATAAACATTTTGAGATATTGTGATAACAGCCTGGTATGAATTGTCAAATAGGATCGGAAGAGTGGAAAAGAAAAAGGACCATCTTGAAATATTTCTGTGAAAGGTAATCACAAAGCTATAAAAAAGGAAGTAAGTAAAAAATATAATAGTTTTGGATATTTTCAGAAAAATACTGAAATGTGAAATTACTGAGAAATTCTGGTATTGTCTGGAAAGGTCTTAACTATTCTATCTGGATCATGTCAATAATTTCCAAAAATGTCATTTTTAGTGCCTGTGGATTAGATACCTTGGATACTAGTCAGTCCCCTCAAATCTTTGTGACTCCAGTCAAAGAGACAATGCTAACTTTTGAAGTTCAAACCATGGGTATTTGAGAATTTGGATACAGGAGGCAAACAGTTATGACCACAGGAATCTATGGATATTTAATTAAGGTTCTTGTCCAATATAAACTTCTAAGTAATATATGCGGGAATGTTCAACCCTTTTACTCACACAAACTTTTTTGTTCAGAATCATAATAGAACCATCGATGTTCAGAAAAAGGAATGCAATATACTGAATACCAGATCACTCAAGATATAAAAAATACTAAAAAAGAAAAACAAAAATCGCTCTAAAAAGTTCTGAGTGATCTTAAATGATACAGAAAACTGAGTCACTAATGTGAAGATACAATTAATTAATTAATTAAAATAAAGAACTTTATTTTCAACAATTTAAAATTGGATGTAAAACAAACAAATCTCTGCTAGATTTTTACTCAGAATGCATAAGAAAGAAGATACAAGTGAAAGGATTTTATAAAGGAATAAACCAGATTTTGGATATTGCAGCTCAAACAGATTTTATATTGTCTTTCAGTAAGCAACTAAAATGGTGAGGGCATGAAGAAAGAGAAGTAGTTTTAATTCTTTGGTGGCAGTAAAACTTTTTGTGTGGTTGGGAAGAGCTTTCTAGTATTACAAGGAAATCTTAATTCTTTATTCCTTACCTTTATTTACCTTATCAGTAATTTCTATGATATTATGTTCCCTCCAACTACTCTAACATCATAAATATTACACCACAATGGCTCTTAAGAGTTGGAAACCATTTGGGTGAGAAATGTCAAATTTACACAAGCACAGAACTTACGGGAGAATTTTTATAAAATGTTTTATAGATGGCACCTTGATCCACAAAAAATGTCTCTTATGTACCCTGACCTACAACCTAAATGTTGGAGATGTGGTTGTATGGATGCTACCTATTATCATATTTGGTGGTCGTGTAGAGAGATAAAAGCATTTTGGATTAAGATATGGTGGAATATCCAGAGAATTTTTAGAAGGATGGTAAAATTTACTCCGCAATTATTTTTGTTGGGTATAGTTACTGATTGTGATACAAAGGAGGTTATATTGATGTTAAATTTGATTACAGCCGCGAGGCTGTTAGTAGGACAATATTGGAAGAAGGAATCTTTGCCTACATTGCAGGAATAGTTTCTTAAAGTGTCTTATTTGGCGGAAATGGCAAAGATTTCGGCTTTTTTAAAGGAACAAACGCAAGAGAAATTTCTTGCTGTTTGGGATAAATGGATAAAATTTATACAATTTAAATTGGATATAAAAAATATCATATAGCTTTTTCATAATTTTTATTTTTATATATATACATATATATGTTAATGTTATTTTTTTTTTCTTTTTTTCTTTTTCTTTCTTTCTTTCTACAAATATAATTTTTTAACTGTTTTTTAATTAAGCCTATATCCTGCTCTGGGAAGCTCAGGGGGGGGGAAAGGGGGGGTGTTTGGGTGGGGGTGGGGGGAGGGGGGTTTTGTTGTGTAATGTTTAGTTTTTTTTTCTCTTTGTATATGTGGTTTTTTGTTATTGTATTGTTTTGCTCTTTTTGTAAAATTTATAAAACTTTTTAATAAAAAAAAAAAAGAGTTGGAAAGAATTCTAGAGGCAATGTGGCATGTTGTAATGCCTTATCATCTCATTATATTTGACATAGGACGCTTTGTCAAAAAATATCTGCTTGTTATATTCAGATACGGAAACATACATGCTATTTATAAAGATTTTATAGGTTTGATGGCAAGAATCTAGTTAAGAATAAGGTGTAATTATAGGTAGGACTTTACATTTAATGAAATTATAGTAAGTGATCAATTTCTGTATGCTGCAAAACATTTTATGTTATCCTCTTTTTAGTTCACCAATTACATTTTAAAAGGGAAAGAATTCTAGAAGCCGTGCCCTACATGCTTTCACTATATTATTTAATTATTATTGCAGTGGTTTGAGGGGTTGAGTTTTCATTTATGCATTACTATTTATTTTCTGTTTTACTGCTAACTGCCAAGAGTCAATTGGTATAAACATTGTATAATTAATTAAATACAAGATAGCCTAATAGCACAGTTAATTTGCATTCCGCAATCTATTGAGTACACATCCTTCTTATCTTACCTTTACCCATATATTCTGTGACAATGTAGATGGGTTCTTCTGACACCACAGCATAAAGTTGGACCAGTTTGTCATGCTTTAGCTTTTTCATGATCTGGGCTTCTTCCAGGAATGATTCTGGGGACATAGTGCCAGGCTTCAATGTCTTTATTGCCACTTTAGTATTCCCATTCCAAGTACCTATTACCAGATGGATAGATAAATACATTTTACACATGCCCGACTGAGAGAAACTACAGAATGTTATTTGCAGATATAACAGCAGTCTTTCCCAATTTGATATCCTCCAAATGCGTTGCCTTTAAACCAGGGTTCCCCAACCCCCCAGTCCGTGGACTGGCACCAGTCTGCAGCATGCCAGCAAACGGGCCTCACAAACAAGCAAAGCTCCATCCCTGGGATGCTGGCAGTATTGAAAACCACACACACACATCCGGTCCACAAAAAAACCTTTCTCCATGGCACCTGGTGCCCAAAAGGTTGGGGATCTCTGCTTTAAATTGTCAGAATCCTTAGCCACAGTTCTGAAGAGCACCAAATTAGGGAAGGCTGCTGTGATACAGAAAATGAGTTGGAAAGATCAATCTGTAAATGTTACATATAAGAAGCAGTGAGCACTAATGCAGCTGCAGAACACTGGTGATCCAACTACTTTAAGTTAGGTTCATCCTCTACAGTTGAAAGAGGGATGACAAACATGACAAACGTGTCTTAATGACTTAGCTCATTGGGTGACGTAGAACAAGGTACTTGAGGCAAATGCATTTCACAAAACTATTGCCCAGCCAAGATATAGCACCAAGCTCCTGGGAAGTGGGGTGGAGGGAATGAATTCAGCTTGATTAGAAAGTGAACAAATTTATTGGGCTGAAATGTATTGATAAATATTCTTCTGCTAGAATTGCTCTCATTTATTTTGAAAAGTCATTATAAAGAAACCTCTTTCTACTGGAGAAAGTCTGCACATAGGGTCAAAGCAACACACAACATACTACTCTTTACAATATAAATAATAATAAAACATGAAGGTAAGGACTCTTGTCAAACTAATTCTCCTGTGAACTAGAAATTATGAGGATGCCAATGAATAAGTAAATTCATATATCAGCTAAAAAAATTCTTATGATTTTATCTGTCTACAACTCAGAACTGTTTAATTTCGTAATCATTGATGGAACTATTTTCATTAACATTCCAAAACTGGAAACTTTTATTTTTAAGGGAGGAAAAAAAGATCGAAAGCTAGACAAATGTTAACATAATGAATTCATTTTCACATATACTGTAGAGTTGAAAATTCTCATACTAAAAGAAATCTATAGCCAAGTGGCTCAGCTACTTATTGGTAATTAGCAAGAGGCTGTCCCAATAATTGGAGCATATGGAAGCTATTTTGCTATAAGGGAAAGGTAAAAAGTGAGCCCAGAAAAAAGCCCTGTTTGAGATTAAATCTTGGTTACTATATCAAAAGGATTTGCATCCCAAATTGCAAGACACTTTATTTGGTCTCAAAAACGCTAACGAGAGTTCCAAGAAAAGAACCAACACACAATAATGGTGTGGACTATACCCAATCTTGGACCATATAAATAATAGTGAAACTTGGGAATTGGAAACCTCCAGTTCTAGAATCAACAGTGCATTACAATATAACACAGATATATAACAATATACTGTATATATATATATATATATATATATATATATATATATATATATATATATATATATATATATATATCTGAGGTTTTCGCAGGTGTTTGTATGTATTGTATGTAGGTCTTTGGTGTTCGGGTTTTCTCCCGCGTAAAATTGGAAGTGTCTTGGCGACGTTTCGACAAGTCCCATTCGTCATCTTCAGGCTGGTGCCAGCTTCGTGCTTGCTGCTCAAAGCACGAAGCTGAAAGCACCAGCCTGAAGATGACGAATGGGACTTCGTCGAAACGTCGCCAAGACACTTCCAATTTTTCTTTCTGTGCTTGTGTGGCCTAGAAAGTCTTCTCTACTCGAGGGCCTTGTCAAATGTTTGTCTTAGGTAACAATATTAGTTCATTGGAACTTGTGTTCACAATGCCTTTCTTATTCTGAAATTGGCTTCTTTCCTGATGGCTTTAAGCATCCATCCCAAACCAGAACAGTTTTCGCTGCCTTACCACTCCACACTTCAGCGAAACAGCCCTGACCCAGCTTCTTTTCCAGAAACAATGAATCTCGTGCAACTTCCCATGCATCCTTAGCCAATCCGACAGTTTGTGGAGTATAATTCGATGCAATCACAGTTAAGTTAAAACATAAACCATCAGCTTTCTCTACAGAAAAGGAAATTAATAAAAGAAATACTTACAATTCACAGAGTAATTGCATGCACAGGGAAAGATGGAAGGTGCTTTTTTCCCTCATTAGTTATTTGTGTTCAGTAGTAGTAGGCTCATAATAAATATTTGCACAGCTGTCTGATTAATATATTTGAAAACTGAAGGCAGCTTGTCAAAATCAGCAACCAAACTCAGGAAGCCCATTGCATTATCTGTCTTTTTATCATTTTTTTTAAATGATAATTTTTCAGAGAGGACCATATTACTCTAGGTAATGGAAGACATCTGCTCTTCCTGATACTGATCCCTATTACTTTTGCTTCCACCTTCCATCTTCCACACCTATCCCCAATAGCTGGGGGCTGACTAAATAAGTTAAAATATTGTCTCAGCATACCCATCCATACTTCCCCAAACTGCCCATTTCCCAGTCTCTTGATCAACTGTAGTGATTCTCGTGGAATTTCCCAGACATCTTTGGTTTTGACAGACAGGTCAGTAAGCCTTGGCATTCCTTTATGACAAGGGACTACTAAGCGGCAGCAAAGACCCGCAGCTCTCTCTGATGAAGGAGAAGTAAAGCACAGGGAAAGAAAAGAGTAACAAACATCAAACAAACATAGCAAGCACAGAAGAAAAGAACAAACAAAAATAGTGCTAGTAAACAAGTTAAAATGTCTGTTAGTAGCCTTCCAAAATAAGCTTGATGATTAATCATCCTGCATACCACCGAAATGCTTCCATCCTTTTGGAAGACTATGAAAACCTGGCTTTGCTGGTTCGCCTGGGGCCCCAAGGAGGCGCTCTCACCATTGGAAGTGGCTGACAGGATAAAAAGACCTCACCCTCGTCTCATCCGTATCTTAGCTCTGGTTTCAGTATAGTTTTCAAATCTTAATCTGTGTAGTTTTAATGTTTTAGTATTTTAATTAACTTGTTAATTAAAAATTAATTTGTAAACCACCCAGAGTCATCTAATAGGGGAGATGGGTGGTATAAACATTTAATAAATAAATAAAAAGTAAATCCCTAAAATTTGTACTTCTATTCATTCTGAGACCTCTGTATTGATGCTGCACTGCTTTCTTTTGCTTAGCTTGAATAGGAGACTGAGATGGTTATAAAATGTAAAGAGATCAGACAAGATTCTTAGCCTAATCCTAATTTCTGCTTTGCGTGAGTGTTTTTCACAGCTTCCCCGGAATGTCATATGTTAATAAGAATGACTCTTTAACAGAAATCACTAGTCTCATTCAACTTCATTCTAGGTTACTGTTTCTTTCTTAATTGATTGGAAGGGCATTCAGATGTTGGCATGACTTAATCCAATCTCTCTCCTTTTCTCTCTATTATATTTCTATTATATTCCTTTCTACTCCTCTTTCACCACTGTTAGCAGGGGCACTAGTATTAATTTTAATTACATTTTAAAGTTAATCGGGATCTCAGAATTGAGAAGAAATGGGAGATGTATACAAGTGTGAAAAAAAAAATCAGTATACTCCACATAAAGTTTTCCCTTCCTTTTTAACATATATGGGCATATAAATATTTTATCTTCATTACATAGTATAAGAAGGAAATGTAATTGAACAATACAGGTATGAAAAACTGACTTTGTGATCACTTATTCACCAAAAAATTAACAGAAATGCCATTCTCTTTTGTGGAAAAAGTAAATATATACCCTTGGTTCTGATATCTGCTACTTTCCCCCTTTGGCAGAAATAACCTCAAGTACAGCCTTTTTTGCAACTATCTGCCAGTCTCTGTCATCATCTGGGAGGAATTTTTTTCCCTACTCCTCCATACAGAATTTTTTAATCTATGGTATGCTTGAGGGGCTTCTTGTGGGAGCAGCTTGTGTCAAATCAGCCCATATCATTTCAGTGGATTTTAGATCCAGGCCATTCCAGAACCCTCCACTTCTTTTTTTCAGCCCTTCCTTGGTGTATTTACTGGAGTGTTTAGGGTCACTGCCATGTTGCAAGGGTCACTTTTGGCTGAGCATCAGTCTTCTGACAGATCGTCCCACATTATCCCTTTCTGTATAAGAAAGAATTCATAGTGATTCTATAATAGGGAGTTGCCCAGACCCTGATGAAACAAACCAGCCCCAAACCCTAACATTTTTCTTTGGTTTCCACCAAACATGACTTTTGGTACTGTGGTCAAATAACTCTATTCTGCCTTAGCTATCCAGAGTACATTGTTCCATAAATCTTGTTCTTTGCCGAGGTGCCCATAAGCAAACTGTATTCTTGCCCTTGTGTCTTTGGACAGCAAAGGTTTCCTTCCAGCATACCTCCCACATAGATCTAATTTGTGAAGGTTTTTTCTAATGGTAGACTCTTGCACATTGAGGAGAGCTACCTATATGTCCCATGATGAAATTTTGGGGATCTTAGAGACTACTATCAACCTTGTGTATTGTGCTCTCAGGTTGCTGGCCTGGCCAAGTTGGCAATCTTCTTCATTCTAGATGATCTTCTAGACCAGAGGTGTCAAACTGCTGGCCCGCGGACTGGATGTGTCATGCTGAAACCGTGCCCACCCCACTGCCGGCAATGGAAAAAAAGTCGTGATACATCACAATACGTCATGTGACATTGTGAGTTTGACACCCCTGTTCTAGACAGTAGAATGATTGATGGCTAATTGTTTGGCAAACTTTTAAAATTCCTTCCCAAATCCATTGACATATACCATCTTTTTTCGTCTATAAGACACACCCTTGTATAAGACGCTCTAGCATGCGAGTTTCTCTACGCCGATCAGCTGTTTGGCGGAGTGCCGAACAGCTGAGCTGGCAAATCTGGAAGTTCGGTGGGCCGACAATCTTGCCCCTCCCCCTCCTGTTAGTGGCAAGCCCACAAGGGCTTGACCTGCACCAGGCAGCATGGCAACCCACACAGGCATGCCCTGGGCTGCGGAGGTTACCATTATTTTTCCGTGTATAAGACGCTGCACTTGTATAAGATGCACCTGATTTTTGAACAGGGTGTTTGCAGGAAAAAATACACAGAAAAATACAATATAATCTCCTTTCTGAAGGTTTCAGAGAGCTCTTTTGATTTAGGCATAGTAATCTCACACACTTCAACAACAAAAAGCAATTCATCTAAATGAGGTTTAAATAAGACTGGTTTCTCCCAAAGCCTCTCTCATAATGTTGTTTATCTACATGTGAAATTAGCAATTATGTTTATTTAAATTATACAATGGACTACAAAATGTAAATGATTAATGTATTTGTTATATCCTCTTCCTCTATCAATATTATTGAAATGAAAATCAAATACCTATATGTTGAAATATGTTTGGAAAGGGAAAAATTCAATAGTGTGTACTTTTCCCATCACTATACATACTATATATATTAAATGTTGCTAAGTAGGCACTATGCAAAAATGAAGGAAGGTCACAGGGGTTATATCAGGAGTAGAAATGGAAGTTTTAAATAGGGAATGTTAAAGTTACACTTAAATTAAAATTTACTCAATCGACTCCTTAGGAATACATGTACTCTTTCCTACATCTTGGGTTTTCTTATAAAAGAAGGAATATTGAACAAACATCAAAGACACAAAGCCCTGAAGTGGCAGATTTTAAAAGTATTTTTTTAAACTCTAGGAAAAGGCAGAGTGTCAGTCACTGTTAAGTTCAGGAATATATTGATATCAGACAGTTATTTCCATGGAAGTTGGAAAAATAGTGTATATCTTCACATAATATAAGGAGACAGTACTTTCAAGCTTGTTCTGTAGGCTCCATATTGAGCTAAATATTGCAAATGGAGCAGAACTATGGAAATGCATATACAGATTTGATGTATCAGGAGCCAAATATATTGGCAAGTTCTGGAAGTTTGTATATTATGTACACCCAACCGGTTACTTCAGTCCTGGATTCAGTTAATATATGGAGATCCTACTCCTACGCTGTCTAATGCTTTTCTTGCCACAGCATAAGAATAATTTCTGACACACAATCTGCTGTTTGAGAATAACTGTCTGTTTCTGATATTCCAAACTATTGGCTGGGATCAACATGCACAGAAAGTATTCACTGAAATTGGTGAACATTTGGAGGAGAAAGACTAGGTTTTCGTCATTTACTAGAAGATACAGGGAGGGCGTCAGCTAGAGTAAACCACAGAGGCTAAAAACTAATGCAAGCATAGGAAATCCCTTGAAGGGAGTCTTAGATACAAGTAGTTTGCATATCTATTTCCAATATTTTTATTCTATTCTCTCATTTTTCAGTATGGTTTACATAAAAAGTTGGTAGCATTCAATAAGCAAATAAAAAAGCATCAATCCAAAAAGCCATCATCTATAAATCTGAATTTTTGAAGATTATTGAATTGACATAGACAAATAGAAAGATTGTCATCTGACACCAAAAAGAATTCAGACTTGGCATCAGGTGAATGCATTGTATAATCTGGACTTCACAATCAATGAGGCTTTTTTTTCTTGTCTGGTGAATCCAAAGAAAAATTTTCAACTAAGATTATGACAGCTATCAGGTTCACATTTGATTCAGTTTTATAGATTTAAGTTACTGATTTAAATTGTGTCTGGATTAAACTTGGAGCCAACACAGTTGCTTCGTGTTGTTAGCATTTGTATTTTGATGGCAGTTCAACTATTGCCATCATAGTAAGCTATTCTGGAAATATGTAGGGCACATCATATATTCTAATAAAATATTAAAGTAGCCCGAGGCTACCACTTTCTTGTTTCATTGTTGTACCCTTCCCCAATTTCCCAGAAGAGACTTGATGTTTGCTAGAGATTCTATAGGCTGATTTATCTATCTCTTCTACGGTACTGTGACTAAATAAAGGGTTCTTAGCCTTCCTATTCTTTTTGGTAATGAGAGCCAAGCATTCCCTTTTTTCCAAATTGGGCTATGGCATGACAGAATCATTTCTATCACACCTACCATGAGATTAATGAATGCTAAAAGCTGGTTAGGGTAACAGAAACAGAGTCATAACATAAGTCTTAGATACTGTGACATGTTTCTGAGCATGTTCAAATCATCTTTGGCCCAGTATGAACTTTTAACACTATTATTCTAAAAAAAATTTATTCATTACTGTGCCCTGAATGCTTCAATAGGAACAAAACAATCTCTCAGTTAAGTCAATCTCTCTCTGTTTTTTTCATGTTACATGAAGAAGTTTAAGAGGGTAGGGGAAAGGAAAGCTGGTGGCTTATGAGATGAAGCAGAAAACACTCAATGGCTGACACTAAGATTTTATTTTCTGAACAGGAAATCCTGCTTCTTTTGTAGAGCACCTCATTAAAAACAGCTGGAATGGCATAATGCAAATACACAATTGGTAAAACACCATCGCTTCTTGTCAGGGTTTAGCTGATGATGTACTGTAATTGGCCATGACCAAAATACCCTCAACAGGACCATCATTAATTTTAAGGACTGTCTCCTATTCACTCGCTGTTCTCTGGCAATTATGGATTGCTTGATAAAACTTTCAGGCAAATCTCTAGATTGGCATTCTGGATTCTGAACCCCAACCCCCGTCCATGGACTGGTACCAGGCCGTGGCATGCCAGCAACCGGGCTGCACATTGCGAGATGCAGGCAGCACACAAAACCATGCACCCTCCGGTCCATGGAAAAACCTCTCTCCACGTAACCGGTCCCTGGTGCCTGGTTGGAGACCTCTGCTCTAGAAATACTGCTAGGAAATTACAGATTTTGCTATCTGAACAAGTGGATAGTACCAGGTTGATAAAGGTGGATCCAGAATGATACTCCCAGAGAAGCATATATTTTAAGTAGCAATAGAGAAGCATATATTTTAAGTAGCAAATTTGTCCAACTAGTGACAAAAATATATCATGGATTACTTCAATATTATGGCAATAGAAAAAAAATGAGATAAAAAAAGAAATAAATTATTAGACGTGGAAAGATGCAAGTGGGCAGAATACACGGAAGCAAAATAGCTTTATCTTTGATGCAATAGAGAGCAAGGAGACAACATCTGAAAGTTTCATGCAATATTAATGTATTAAACAATAGATGAAGCATAAATACATTCTAGTTATGCTAGCATGCATGCTTGGGTGAGCAAAAAGAGAAGAATGTTTAAATGTGCCTGAATATAGCAGAATGAATATTGAATAATGTTACTAAAAAGATAAAATAGTTCAAAAATATTGCTAAACTGATTAACTTCCAAAACAATTTAGAAAACAGTTTAAATATTGAACATTCTTAGAATAAGTAAATATATTTCTAAGTATCTGGAATGTTAAGAACTTTGCACAGAATATTGTATGCATGCACACGATAACACACATCCATTCTAAGACATAAGAAGGCTATTTTTAAAAAAACAAATTGTCCTAGAAACATGCATTTTTACTTATTTTACAACAGTGGATCAGAGTAGATAGTAATTAGCCAATTAATACCACCTACATTCAGTGAAATGAGGAGGACAAGATTTCCGCTCCCTAGCATGCTATGTGTTCTCAGAAGTGCTTAGGAATCTTTTAATTGGGAGGGGGCAATTAGAGTCTTTCAGGGGAAGGAGCAATTTTGTTAAATGCAAAGAAGTCTATTTGCAAGAAACTGGATATCTCCCAGTGCTAAAATAAAAACTATGGATTACTGCTCAAGATACAGAAAGTATAAATACATTTATTATTTCACCATTATTATGGTCTACAACTGTCTAAAAGAATTAAGACTATCGTTTTATAATTTGTTTACATGTAACCCCTATTAGTATCAATATTTGTTCATTAGATGAAGAAAAAATTAGGTGTTTCTAGGAACGTGGTTTGTTGTTGTTTTTTTTAACCTAAAAACAATTCTGATAGACAGTCAGCTCTGTAATTTTAATGTGCCATATACAATCTTTGGTACAGGCTAAAAACTAGGAGACTATGAATTGCAGTCCCATTGGGCAACATTGGTCAATCACTTTCTCTTAGCTCAAGGAAGAAGCTTGAAAACGACTTTCAAAAAAACCTTGCCAAGAAAACTGCAAAGATTAGTCTAGGCTGTTGTTGTGAGTCAACAATTACACACAAACAAATCAACAGAACCATCTTTGCATAAATATAAGACTAAGTGTGGTTGAATCTTAGCCATATCAAGCAGTGAGCATGAACTAAAGGCTTTCTATTTCAGCACTGTTTATAGCACTAGCTGTCAAATAGAGGAAAAGGGAGAAATATAATATTTGTGGAATGCTTGTACTAAATTGTACAAGATGTACTCAATCAGAATATACAAGTATAATGAGGTGATGATGAGGGTCACTGGCAGGAAGGAGGAATGTTCTGTCACTTACTTAAGATGGCATGAGCTGACAAGAGCAATTTCTTATATCTGATTCTGATTTGTTTACTGTCAGCTTCAATCCCAGCACTGCAGAGAATGATGGAACAGCTATTTTGTGCATAATTTCTTAACAGAAATATGCGAATAACTACACAAAATTCAAGAACTAAGCAAGTGATTAGTCCAGGTAAAGTATCCTGATGACAGGTGAATGGAGATTTCTCTTTTTAAGTGCCATGAGTTATAGCAAAAAGGCCTACAAATTCCAGCATCATTAAAGTCAATATTACTAAAGTGACTAATTAGAGTTAAGCCTAGGGATAAAATGTGTGCATCCTTTAAAAAATCAGAATGTATCTTTTCTAGGAAAAAGATTTCTATTTCCCAAGAAAGACTAAAATTGTGTAGCAGAATTTTGGGATGGAGAGGAGACAAATTAATTTTATCGGAAATAGAAGGGAAGCCATAGAGATATTTAAAAACTCAATACTATAATAAGGACTCCCTCACCTTTTTAATTTCATACCTTTATGCCTCCAAGCTCTCAGAGTTCTAAAATTTAGTTTAAGATGTTAACATGAAAGCAATGGTGAATTTTGGGAAATCCAATATCAAGATGTGACTATAAGAAACCAATTTATGCATTATATTAATAGAGTACCCCAAATGTACTTTTCAGATAAAGTGGTTTATATTGAAAAACCATGCAGTTATCAAAAATTGCTAATGAAGCTTATGGAGTACAGAAATGCTCTGAGGTTTACATAATGAAAGTCGTGTTTTAAAATGGTGAATCTTTATGTGTTCTGATAATATGAGACTGAAAGAAAAAAGAAGACTCTAATTTAATTAACATTTTCTATTTAACAAAAGTTAATAGGGAAGCATTATATCAGTAATATTTTTATTTTAAGTAAACTGAATTTATTTAACAACTGAATTTTCAAGGTTACCTGAATAATGCTGAACAAGTTGTTGAAGAGTTTCAAACTGTGCCCTGGTTGTAATATAATATCCTCCACTGTCAAGCTTACGGATTTTATAATGTTTGACATGATCACCTTTCATATCATCCCAATCACGAATGGACAATGAATAGGCACCTATAATAAGAAAAGTAAAAACTACATGTAAATAAAAAAATGAAATATTCTAACCAGAAATAATTTAAATTATTTTGGTAGCATGTTACTATAAAAATGGAGTATCCAGTATAATTTTTTGAAAGCAGGAAAGGCATTTTTAAAGGCACAACATTAGCAGTAATTCTGAACTGCTCAACAATTTAGAGAATCTTTTAAAATTCTTTATTCTTCATTATATACAGCTATATTCAGAATTAGATCTCCTTACCATCGTTTGCAACTTTCGATTTTTAGAGCAGAATTTAAAAAATAAGTCAACTGAAAAGTCAACTCATAAGCTAGATGCTATTTTTCTTTACGTAAGACACAATCACACCCAGCACAGATTGTATAAACTGAATGTGGTGTTTATCTAGTAAGTTCTGCTGAATTTAAATTTAAATTATTATGAAAAAATAATCTGCTTATAGTATTTTTTGTTTCATTTGAGCATGTCTCATTACCTTCACTGATGTTTTTCCTCTGCTTTTTAATTAAAACATTACCTTTGGTGGTTTCACTTTCACGAATCAAGAAGGTTCCTCGTGGATTTCCAAAGGACAGTAGCTGCCTCTCAGCATCTTTTCGTCCAAGTTTCCCAAAGTACCATCTGAACAAACATGCCAGAAACAAAAGGTTTCAAAATGTAAGTGGACTTTTTTTTTTTTTTTTAGTATTTAAAACAATTAAGCTTGCGTAAAGACCATCTGTGAAGATCATTCAAGTTTTTCTTATACCTTCACCACACTTATATACAGACTTATCCCAGCAATAAAACATTGATTTCTGATAATGATGCATAAGCAGAAGGAGCCAATTACTAATAATGATTCCTGAGACATGAACACATAAAAATTTGGCAACTGTAGTCAGATTAATTTGCACACTGATAGGCATAGTCTGAATGGTCCATTGACAATTCATTATGCATGATCATGTAATCCTAATCAGCAATTCAATGCAAAACACTGCACAGCATAATCCAATGTAAAAAAGTTATTTCTGATAAATTATAGAAAAAATATCTATTTTTTCTGCCATGCACATGTATACATAATCTGACTGTTGTTTCTTTGTGTCATATAATATATGTGGGTATATGCATAATTCTGTATTTATTTATTTATTTTTGTCATATTTATGTTGTGTATATCGGAGGTGGTGACCCTTTGAGAGCTGAATGCAATGAAATTTTATTTTAATGTATGCCAACTAGTATACATTCAAAGTGACAATAAAGTTATTATTCTATTCTATTCTATTCTATTCTATTCTAGATAGCACTGTAGGGCTAGGAGTTCACGTTTATTCAAATGCTGTCTTTAAAAAGGCTTCAATATTTCCTTTAGTGTTCATATTTAAAAACTGAAATAATAAATATTGTTCTATCTGCCTTTATTATGAATTGAGTTCTGGCCAGTTAAGTAAAATAAAACCTTCACAATCTCAGTGTGCTTAAACCCAATACACAAGAAAGATTATATTTCCAAACCAGAAGATTCTGGATATTTCTACTCTGATCTGGTAAAAGCTAGCTCAGTTTCCTCTCCCATCTTTCTTTTAATTACCCAAGTATTTAGCAATCTAGTTGAAAAAGGAAGCTAATGTAATGTGCAATTCCTTGAAAGTCACCACAGTTTCAACTTCTCTCTATCCAAAACAATCTTTTTTTTTTTTTTTAAATACATACTCTTCTGCTTGGATGGAGTCAACTGGAGCCACATAATTACTGGGAATATAACCAGTTTCTCCAGTAGTCAGGGATCGGGCTTCCCACCAATCTCCTTCCCTGCAAAGCAAGGTTACAAAAAACAGAACATTGTTTTAACGATAGCCATCATAATATGCCTACCTTGGTCCTGGTTCAGTAAAGGAATCCATCCTTTTTCAGCATTCATAATTAAAGAAACAGACAATGGAATGATTTTTCTTTTGTTACTATTGCCTAGAAATTCCACTAGATGGAGATCTTTTATAACAGCCATAAACACTGCAGTTGTGCCATGTTATAACAGAGATTCATTCAGAAAACAGAGAAAGCAAGCATTAACTGGTATTGCTGTGTTTGTACAGTTTGCTTCCATGTTAAAAGAATGTATCAGTGTGGGTGGATTCCACAAGCTCTGTTGAAAAAAACGCATGCTTGTGAACTTCACTGGCTTTCAAACTACTGCACTCTGAAATGACTGACAAAAGACTGAAAATGTTTAAAGCTGAACTTTAAAAAAGAAACTAGAATTAAAAAAAAAGATCCAGCACAACACAGGAAAAAATGATTAGGCTTCGTTAGGGCATTTTTACCAGTATAAATATGGATAACATTACTGCATTTAATATCCCCGATAAAAACTAAAATTAATTGTTTACGATGTACTGTTATGTACATCTGGATAGCCCAACTGCAGATTTAGAAAACTGTAATAAAATTGCTTATTATTCAAGTATGTTATCTTTATCTTCATCAGGACCATTTTGAGGCATAAGGAAAAGCAGATATTAAATGAAAATTTAAGCAAAATATGATTATGAACATGCTATTCTTCTTAAAGGAAGTTTTAGTTCAACCAACTATGCTTATACAACTAGCAAAGATGTTTAGCCATAAAGAATCATAGAATATTCCACAAATTACCTTGTTTTTTATTTCAGTTTTATAATCTGCCAGTTATCTTTGGAAAGATATTGTTTTGATTTACAGAATCTTTATTAACATTGCAAGGATGGAATTGCCATTATATACATGAAAAGCACATAATGCATTTAAGGAATATTTTAAAACTGTAGGTTTTTAAAATAAATGTTTAAAGTATTTAAAATAAACACTGAATTTTTAGAAACACTGATTCTTAAAGGCCATGTTTTCAGTGCTTCCACATTTATTTTAATTGCCATTCTGGGAGAGAAATATTAATCCTAAACAATAAAGGCCAGCTAAAAGATGAGAGATGGAAGGTTCAGATTATTTCTCTTCATAGATGTCCATAATTAACTACAATAGCATCAAAACAACAAAACATTAGATCATAAAATCTACTTGAGGCATGGAGTTTGCATCGTGATGCAGATTTTGTCAGCCCCATCTCTGGAATGTCAGATTCTTTCTGTTCTATGATCAATCAATCAGTAATATTTATAACCAATGACCAGCGAAGTTCATTGTACAATATTGGATGATGTGCTTTATAGTGCATTCAGCAACTCAGTTCCAAAGCTCTTCTCATCAATTATAGAAATAATGTAAGGGTGAACATCTCTTGCCTTTTGTTCTGATGGTAGCACACAATTTAGATGAATGGCAATAAATTTAAAAAGACATGAAGATGTATGGAGCAAATTAATTTAACTCCTCCCCCCCCCACGTTATCCATCCCTCTTTACATACATCAGACATCTACAATATTACTGGTTTTATTTATTTATAAGATTACTACTCAGATATTCACTGATAAACAGTAACACTGAATAGTCATGAAAATAACAGTAGCAATAGTTCCAGCTCTTTACATAATTAACAAGTAACTATTTTCTCTCCTCGCTTAAATAATCAGTTAATCTAAATGTCCTGCCTAATATGAAACATCTCTCAATGGCAGAAAATAGCTCTGTATAATCTTCAATTACTTTAATTCAATTTACATTTGCCACAATAATAACCTATGTTCTTTCTTAAAAAGTTATAAATTGAAGCAGATGATCCTAATATGATGCGTTACAGGTAGTCCTTGACTTATAATCATTTGTTTAGTGATTGTTTAAAGTTACAAAAGCACTGAAACAAGTGACTTAAAACCATTTTCCACACTCATGATTGTTGCAGCATCCCCATGGTCATGTTAAAAAATATGGATGCTTAGTAACTGGCATGTATTTATGACGGTCATATCCCAGGGTCATATGATCAACTTTTGCGACTTTCTGACAAGCAAAGTCAACGGGGAAGCCAGATTCACTTAATAACCATGTTACTAACTTAACTGAGGCAAGAATGGCCATAAAATGGGACAAAACGCATTTAACTATCTTGCTTAGCAATGAAAATGTTGGGCTCAACTGTGGTCGTAAGTCAAGGAGTACCTGTACACATTTTAAAAATTCATATACACAGGAATTTAATATATCATTGCTATCTAGGGAACAAACCACCTAGGCATTAAAAAGTAAATATATAGTAAACAGAACTTACGAATTGTTAAGTATCTGGAATTTTTCTCCTTTATGAAAACTTAAATCATCTTCTGTTCTTGCTTCGTAATCATATAGAGCTACAAAAAGAGTTACACCTATAGAAAGATAGTAAAAGTGAATGCAACTTTTGCAAATCACAGTGTTTTTTAAACAAATTATTTCATTTTTTTTTCATAATGGAAGATAAATTTGAACCTCTCATTTTACTTTTCATGCAGCATTTTGCATAGGAAGCCCAAAACATTTGGTTATATATGCACTACCTAAATTCTAATATTATCTTTTTCTAAACTGCTTTGTATGTATTATCTTTGATCAATGTTGTCCAGCAGGACTGGAGATTCTAATGTGGTTTGCAGGCACCAATGTGCCAGTGGATATTTTTTTTTTGGTGCTGGGTCAGGCTCTTCATTTATTTAGTGTATTAATCAAATTTATTACTACCATATCTGTGAGGCTCTTTGCCTCCCCCATTTGAATTAATAAATCGTATCTTGGCATGCTGCAAGTTAAACTGACAACTTCTAGCACTATATTTATTTCCAAGAACGCAACTTAATAATGAGCTCACAAGCATCATAAGCACACAACATCATTAGATGGCCATGGAACATAAACCTAAGAAACAAACACCATCTCTCTGTTGTGGATTTCTATAGAAATAGTATCATACACTATACAAAATAATAATATGGTTGGTTTGGCTTTGGCATTGTATGTTGCAGGAGCATACTGTGATTTGTAAATCATAGTTAATGGCTTAGTGTATTGGCCTGCTTATGTCACACCACAACTTAGTGTGCTGGGTTAATGCACACACTGATATTTTATTTAGGACCACTTATTAATTTTATGGCTGGTATCAGCAACAAACATAATGAATTTCAAATGTTATTATCTATATAGCCTTTCAGCTCTTATGCTGCTTCAGAAGTTATAGAAAATTAAATCTTAAATCTAGAAGAAAATATATATCTTAATTTTCAAAATTTGTGTGAGAATTGATTCCATAAGAATATTGGGCTTGGTATATTGAACATACATGATGAGAAAATAATATCTACTAAACCTACTAATAGAATAATTAACCAGTGGAACAACCTGCCTCCAGAAGTGGTGAATGTGGTAAAACACTGGAAGTTTTTAAGAAGAGACTGAACAGCCATTTGTCTGAAATGGTATAGGGTTTCCTGCCTGAGCAGGGGGTTGGACTAGATGACCTCCAAGGTCCTTTCCAACTTTATTATTATTATTATTATTAATAATAATAATAATAATAAACCTATATGACTGACTTTTGCCAGTAGAGAAGCAAACAATGATGTCGGAGCAAGAATAGTAAGTATGTGCATATCTGAATTCATGCGCTGGTGAACCCTGATAATATTTTCATCAAATACAGAAGTATGTCTGAGATAAAGGCAAAGGGATTTAAAGAAGAAATATACAGTTATTGAGGAACATAAACATGCTTTAGAAAGGGAATAGATGCAGTTTTTCTTGTTGTTGTTATTCACCTGTTCCTCCTCTTGTACGCAATGTACCAGTATGTGATGAAGAATTAACACCACCGAAGACCGTCAATCCTTGTCCTCCAGCTGTGGGAAAATTGTTGTAGTTTGGAATTGAAGTCACACCAAAACTTGGGTAATGCTGGGGGGTAGGATCTGTTCCATAGCGATAACCTGAACTCTGGTTTAAACTACCATCCCTCTCGTCGGTCAGTTTTGTTGCTTCTTTATCCTTACATTGCACACAGCCCATTATCTAAAATCCTGCAAAAATTAAAACAAAATATACAGTATGATGCTTATACATTTCAACTAAAGTATACAACACATGCATATTCAGGAGTGATAGAATTAGAGTCATTTTGGTGGGGAGGAATACCTAGGCATCCAATTGCTAAAATCAGGCTAACTTTTCTTGGGGTAGATTCTAAAAAAAAATTCTTGGACTACAGAGTTAGCGTTTGAACTTCAAATTGTAAATATGGAAGGATACCACATTTTTGTGGCGCTAAATATACCAACTCAGTTTATGCCAACTCCATTCTTGCTGCCTTGAGGGCAAAAGTGGATATTCTATCAGTATCAATTATGGCTTCGGATATTAATGTTATTAATAGCAACGGGTGGAAACTGATCAAGGAGAGAAGCAACCTAGAACTAAGGAGAAACTTCCTGACAGTGAGAACAATTAATCAGTGGAACAGCCTGCCTCCAGAAGCAGTAAATGCTCCAACGCTGGTAGTTTTTAAGAAGAGACTGGACAGCCATTTGGGGGTTGTACTAGACCTCCAAGGTCCCTTCCAACTTTACTACTACTACTACTACTACTACTACTACTACTACTACTACTACTACTATTTGACATGTCCAAAAGGCAGGGAATCATAGATTTCATATTCTGTACAACAAACTGGAAAACACTTTCACACCTGCAGACTTTCTATGTTCATGTTGTTGGCAATGGTATTATTTTTCTTTAGGAACTGTTAAATCTAAAAGATAGTGCCTATGTGGCATACAGTAATTTTATAGAGTGCGGAGCCCTGACTTCTTGACCCTTTGGCTGAACTCTGAAGATGGGTAGTTAGAATTTCTTCCCCTGCTCTTCTTCCTCACACAAGCTTTCCTCTTCACATTCCTGTTTGCTCATGATGGTCATGAACTCCTAACTAGTTTGGCCTTTTCCAAGAGCGCTGGATGAGACTGAGCTGTTGGCTGGGAAAGAAACTTTACCTAGTACCTATCTCTTGATGAGTGAGGCAGTGGCAGCCTTAATCCCTTCCCTTGTGACTTTGTGCTCAGAAAGCAAAACAAAACAAAACAAATGCACTCACACTGGCTCCTAGTTACTGTACAAATTAAGAGGGGAAACAGTGCAGCACGATCTCAGATTACAGGTCTTTTATGCTCCCCTGAGTTGGACACAATCTGGCGTGATGAGTCACCTTTCCACAAAATTCTGACAAAGTACCTACATTTAGCCATTTGGGGATATAATCCGTGGAATTTTTCCTTTGGGTTTCACACTATCTGCACGCAATACTTTATAGGTTTCTGAAAAGCTTCTGTAAGATGAAGTTTAGAAGGACATGGTTTATTGCAGGGAAAGATGAGAATATGACCAGAGATGTATTATTCACCGGCTGAGCCAACAAAAAATGAATTAATTTCCCAGTTATCAAAAGGCGGGGAAGGGGAGAAAGCAAAGAAAAAAGTAATTCTTCAAAAATTTATGACCTTAGAAAAGTTATGCCAATAATGAATATACCTAAAACTTCCAAGCCATAAAAGATGATGATGGAGAGGATGGTGATGATAGTAATAGTAGTAGTAATATTTCAAATAGATAAAAGCCTATCTGTACAAAACAGGTACTTAATTAATGGACTGCAACCAAATCTCTCTTTTTTGCTGACATGTATTTTCTGTGACAGAGATAGGGAGGAGTACATGGAAAGGTTTGATGGAGGAATCCCCCCCACCTTTTCTGTTTTTTTCAACTTGGCTCCAATATCTAGGCAATGCATTTTTAAAAGCGTGATTGGAGGATTACATAATTTGTGACGAAGGGTGTAACCTACATGTTTTGTTTTTCAAACCAAGACTTAGAAAAGTGATCCGTTTTTTTCTTGAAAACTCCATACATGATATCATTGAAAGCTTAGTTAAGAATTTGGAGGAAGTAACAAAGTATTACTGGATGGGATCCCAAATGACTCCAAGGCTCGTGTAGGTCATTTTAAATGCATCCTCTATTCAGCAGTAGCACAGAGCTCTAAACAGGCAGAGGACGAAAAACTTAACTCCTATAGTTTTCATATCAGAAACATCAGTAAATGGCAGGCATTTCAAGCTTTTAGCAAGCTAGTAACATATGGCTTAGCAGATGATGGTGATATCATTTCATAACATCTGAAAATCATTACAGCCTACAACTGGTGAATAAGATTTTGATGTATAGTACAGTAGTTCTAAAATATCACATCCCTTAATTATTTGGGCATGACTGGGTCATATGATTGTTTTAGCAAATGACATTGGTTTTTCAAAGTAAGTGTATAAAGAAGTTCAATTTGTTAGCTACTTCTCCAAAGCAAAACAAGGAAGGTGCTAATTAAAGCGCACAGAAATTATGAAACTGAGTGATATACTGAAATACAGTATTGTATGTATTTCCTCATAAATTCCAGGGCCTGTTTGCTTTATGAAATCAAGCAGTAATTTTGTAACCACGTGCCAATATGACTGCAGCTGCAGCATACAATTGCAGTCTTACAATATACTTTAATAGAAATAACTCCTAATGAGCATTCAGTAGAAGTGTGTGTGTGTTTGTGTGTGTGTGTGTGTGTGTGTGTTAAATCCTACGTGTATTACGTAAGGCAATAAGTTCTGTTCTACACTGTATAGAACTACCCTGCAAGTGACAGATTGCCTCCTTATGCAAGAATATATGGATATATTGATTGGAATGATGCAATAATATACAAAGGAGCAGATGGACAAAAATTAGGTATCAGCAACATTCCACCTCTTACAACGACATCCAGATTTCAAATGCTCTATTTGCCAATGTTGCAAAAAGCAAATTGTCATCATGTTTCAGAAACTTCAGCTGTTCGTATGTTTGATCATGAACACTCTAATGTTATAGTCAAGAATTAGAAGAAAAAGCTGCACAAAACATATTGTGTCTTCTTTGGAAATCCAGAAGTTTGGAGTTAAATAAGTTTCTACATAATTGAAACCCAGATAAATGTTTGTATAAACTCTTGCTCTCGGTTTCTTCCCACTCGCTGCTCATCAATTCTTCACGGCAAGGAAAAGACAAGCCAAACAAGTAGTGTTCAATTGAAGCAGGTGCTTTTTTTGCTCTGATTCAAGAAACAAGCTATAGTTATGGGCAGTTCAAATGGGATACCAATCCCTCCACAAAAAAATTATGCTCAAATAATTCTACCCACTTGAAGCTTGGAATAACAGCCTAGTCAAAAAATAGAGCCCAACAACACAGCCCATTCTGGGCTTACCCAACCCAGCAGTCTGCTGTCCTCCCATTGTTGTGATGAGAGATAAGTATGTTTTCTGAAAAAGCACTGTCCCCATGCATTCCTATAGCCAGGTGTCTGAGATTAGAGTGGCAGAGATTTCCTATCAAGAGCTGTGGCACGAAGGCTGTTGGTATAGCACAGTAGGTCTGCCTCGCAGTCTCAGAGCCAATTCATTCATATGCAGGGTACAAGTCCTAGCACTACTATCATCTCAAAAGAGTCAATCCAACTACTTCTTCTTTTCTGTAGGAAGATTGGTAGCAGCTAAGGTGAATGCCCCCTTCCTGAGAAGTGGAAGGGATCAGCCTCACCAAATTTACATTGCCTGGGAGGAAGTGGATTGACTTTGAGGACAGTAGGGGAAGTGATGCACTTGAATGAGGAGAAAAGAGGAACTGCTATTGGGAGTCCTGCTAATGCATAGTTGCAATTAGGGTAGCTGATCTCTTTATTTTTTTGTACACAAAGGTTATTATTGACCTTGTGGAAGACTTTGATATTCCCCTTACCGAAAAAAAATTGGCTACCACATGAAGATCTATTCTTTCCAGCAGCTAAAGCACAGATGGTCATGGAGACACAGAGCCCTGAAGCCAAAGGGGAGAAGGGGAACTGGCAACAGATCAACTGGAGCCTTGCAGGTCATCACCTTCCATTTTTCCTTTCTGCAACATAGAATGTTCCATTTTCAGTGGAAAACACCAGCATTTCCTGCCAGCTAACCTCAATCCAACTTTAGCCTGGCTTAGCAACAGGCTGACAGTGAGATGGAGGCATTGTTGGAAGAACTTGCCTGCAACAAAGAGTAAAAAGCCTATCACAGTGGCAGGGCAAGGAATGTGCATGAATGAATCTTCTGCTAAGATGTTGTGCTCTTGCAGGTTTGCATGCAGTGCCAGCTATGTAGGACAAGATAAACTTGCACAACCCAAATTACATATATATCAAAACTACAAAGTTAGAATAAAAGTACCATTGCCAAATTATCTTGGAATTCTTATTTGGAAATAATGTTTATTTAGAAACAATTATAAATCATTCAACTCAGATGACTTTGCATGACTTATAATAATAAAATAAAAATGAAATATCAAACAATGAAAACTCCATCAAAATAACTGCATATGCAACAAAATGTAGTAATACGTTCTATCAGATATTCATGAATTGGTAGCAAATTAAAAAAAATATACATATATAAACACAATATTAAAAGAGAAATTAAAATTTAATCAAATTCTGCTGTACTAAATAACTGGGAACTAATCTTAGCATAAAAAGGCATTCCCCTAATTTGGAAGCAATGTAAACTATAATTATCTGCATACGTTACACCTCTAAAAACAGGTGCTCAAAAATGTCACTTGCATATTTTGGAAGATAGTTTCATAATGGGACTGCTGTTGCTAGCTTCAAATCAAATAATAGGATCCAGAATTGTCTTAATATCCAGAGATAAATTTGTATCTCTGGAAAGACTGCAACAACTAAGTCCCTAAGACTGGAATAGAATAGAATAGAATAGAATAGAATAGAATAGAATAGAATAGAATAGAATTAGAACAGAATAGGAATAGAGACCTTGAAAGTCTTCTAGTCCAGCCCCCTGCTCCAGCAGGAGAACCTATACCATCTCAGACAAGTGACTGTCTAGCTAGCCTCTTCCCAGTATGTAGTAGCACCAAGACAATTAAAGAGTCAAAGCTGGCAAACCATAAAACAGGACCACTAATGTAAAACATGAACCACTTTTCTGGGGAATGGGGAGAACTATATGACAACCGGCTACGGGTTCTTCTTTCATTGCCTTGTAGCTCTGCCATGATGATTAGCTGGACAGTTCAGAATATTTAAAACTATCCACCCTTTCTTCTCTGAGACCTTTGGTGGCCTTGTACTAGGGATATCAAGGCCTGTGATTCTTTTTGAAAAATCAAGCTTCCTGTTAGGAAACCAAGTGGACCGTTGCACTTTATAATTGACCTACCACTTAAGGGCTGATGTGCTATTTATGGTGGATAAATGTCACTAAGAACAAGTCTCCAACTCTATGTAAACTGGCTTGATCTTTTATCTATTACTTTGCTTATAATAACTCCAATAATGCCTCTACTCAGATGTTGCCATTTCAGGCCACCTATGGTTACTACCTACATCTATTGCCATATGCTTCTCAGTCCCTCAAATTTTGCCTTCTCCCCTTTTCCAGGAATGCTGAGCTCTTGGCACCTTTTCATGGATCAACTGGATCACATCAGGTCTTGTGTAAACATTCTATTGACAATCAGCAGCAGGAACCATTTCCCTCTCCTCCTCCTCCATTGTCGCTGAAGATCACATCTGGCTTTGTATCAGATTTCTCCCTGTCAACCAACAGACTAAGAAACTAGATGTAAGCTGGTTGAGCCATTTGTCATACTTGCATAGATCAATACTATAGACATTACTCTGCAGTTTCCAGCCACATTAAAAGTTACACACAGATTCTCTTCTCCCTTGTGCATCTTTGAACCAATTTGTGTTATGGGGTGAGGGAAGAAGAATTGGCATGGAATGTATTTTAGAGTTTCACTGCAGAAAGACCAGACCATGATTCATTGGCAGAGTTACCCAGATATAGAAATGTCATGGGATGTTGCTGACAACATTCATGCTCTGTACTTTCTCTGACATACCTGCACAACCAAAATAACCTAACTGGTGACCCATTCTACCTTTGGCAATAATCTGCAGTTCTGACTCTAAGAGAGAAGTAAATTGTTTGGGGGATAGAAAAGAGACATCTGTACAACTAATAAGAGATGAAGATTATCCCATTCAAAAGGAAGAGTTTTGAAATGGGCGGTGCTCCTGATGAAGAAAATAGATAAGATGGAAATTAAGCTCTGCTTTGAGGAATCAACTGGAAGTGGAGATTGGGAGAAAATAGGAAATTATCTCTTATTTTAAGGTAAGATAGATAAGATAACCTTTATTGTCATTTTTATTCTGTGGGCACAATGGCACACATCAAAAATGAAATTTAGTTGCCTGCTCTCAAAGTGAAACACATACATGACACCCACCTAAACATACCATGAACAACATATGTATAGACCCACATCCCTACATATACGTAGAAAATAAATATTAAATATTGTCCATCTTGAATATATAATGGAAGGAGGAAGCTTTTCGCAAGGTTAATGCTGTATGGAATGAAACTCTGGCTGAATCTGGATGTTCTGCTTCGGATACCACGAAGCCTCCTCCCAGAAGGTAACAAATAGAATGTATATGTATTATTAAGATCCTTAGGCAGAATGAAGGAGTACAGACATTTGAAGGGGAAGGAGACTGTCAGCTCCAGTTGGCAAAGATATGGAAACTGACAGAGAGTACCCTTCAGTCTCTCACAGACTGAGGGAGGGGAAGATCCATCTGGACCTTTAAATAGGAAGGAAAAAAATAGGGAGGAAGACAGTATAAGAGTTGATAGTGTTGACGAAGAAACCAACCCTGTTCAGGCCAGCTGCCTAGTAAACTCAAGCCTAGGGAAAAAATGAGTAAGAGACAATTGATGCAACAAGATGAGAGGAAAATGTTTAGGATTTAATCTCTGGCTCTGTCATTCATTCATAATTCATGCATATCATGCTACGTTCTGCAATATGCAGACTGCCTGCGTGAGTATAACTAATTTTTTTCTGCAATAAAGCAATTTATCCAGGTGTTATCAAAATGACAAAAGTCTGCTAGATTGAATATGGGATTGATTTTCTGAAGAGATATTTATTGTTCTGCTCATGTTACCTCATAAATAGACAGCACTGAAAGCTGCAAACATGTTTACAAGAATCAGTAGGACAACAAAATGTTGCCCAATTTCCAGTTTGAATCATTCACCAGGTGACTGAACATTGTCAATCCTATTTCCTAGTTGAAAGCCTGAGTAAAAAGGCTCCACATATGAGATTTGCAATCCTCTCACTTTTCTTGATGGCCATTAGCAAGAATAAATAGATTCAAATCTACAGCTGAGTAAAAATTCCTTATTCCACCCACTACTGGCATTTTTCAAATGGCATCCAAAGGAATAAGTAGTTCAATGGAAATAGCAATGGGGATGTGTTTCTTTGTGTCACATGTAACAAGAAAGCTTTCAATAATTTTCTTCCTCCTTACAATATTAGTCCTCAATTTGCAACCACAGTTGGAGCCCAAAGCAAGCAAGGTGGTTGTTAAGTGAATCACACTACCAATTTTATGATTTTTTTTTGCTTCAGCTGTTAAATGAATCATCATGGTTAAGTGAATCACATGGTTTTTAAAGGAATCTGGCTTCCCCCACTGACTCTGCTTGTCAGAACCCTGGTGGGAAGATCACAAATGGTGATTAGGTAACTCTGGGATGCTGCAACTGTCATAAACACATGTTGATTGCCAAGTGTCCAAATTCTGATCATGTGACTGTAGTAATGCTGTGATGGTTGTTAAGTGCAAGGACTGGTTGTAAGTCATTTTTTTCAGCATCACTGATGACTAGCGTTGATGAAGTTACCTAGTTCGGGTATTGAAACATCTGCAAGAAAACAACCAACATCAGAGAGAACCAAGGATCCCAACATTGTAATTTTGGACAGTCACTAAACAAATGGTCGTAAGTCAAGGACTATTTGTATATCTTAAAAAACACATTGATATGACACAGCAGTGTTTTGATAAACCTTCCTGGGGGAAGAGGGAAGCAAGGGTGATCAGTAATGTCTCTATACTCCAGATAGATATGTGTTTTCCATGCCTCAAAAGTTACCATCAAATTATAATTATTTAGTTGACTCCCCATTAATAACATGGACAGTAATTTTATTAGTATATACAAAAAAATGAAATGCATTTTAACTGAACTTTAAATTAAAATGAAATGTAGTTCACCCACTTTGGGGAGAATACCTGCAACATGCCATTCAAAGGCCAAATGTAGATCTTGGCTCCAAAGCCACTTTTCAAAGTGATGTTATATAATGTTACTATGACAGGCACAAAAGAAGCAAAAAGCAAACTAGAGCCACATGTAATTCTGAAAAATCAAGTAGCCATCTAAAAGAAAAATAAAGATACCTTATTCATATATGCTCAATCATATTTGCATTTGTCTGAGCTGTTGAATCTACAAAATATATGCTGTTTATTAGCTGCTAGATCTAACAGTTCTTTGGATGACTGAAAATTTAGAATTTAAATTACTTTTAATGCTATCAGTAAAGATTTTGTAGGCACTTGGACAAGACTCTCACCATCTCTGGAAAAATGAAAGCAATGGCAATACTGGAATAGGAAGTGTTATTTTTTGTTTTTGCTTCACTGGTTTGAGGTTATTTAATCGCTGGTCTTGCTATGCCTTGCAACTGACTCTGTTCTCAATATATATTCATATTACTTTTTCCATCCGCATTTCTGAGAATGCAGAAAGGCATTCCAATCTTATGATTCTGGAAGTGAAAGTCAGGCTTGTTCTGCTTTCTATTCTTAGGGGTATCACACTTTAAAAAGAAGTCTTTTATGTAGGTCCAGTGGGAGGAAGCATCCAAAATTGTCAATATCTGGCAAGTCTAGACATGTATAAGTGCACATTCCATTCCATTTTGATACTACTTCCTTTTTTTCCAACAGGGAATTAAAACAGAAAAAGAAAAGAAATTCATAAATATATTTTGATCTCATAATTATTACTAATTTCATGCTACATTATATTTGCTGCATGGAATTTATAATTCTTAAGGAGATAGGAAAAGAATAATTTGCTCAAATATAGAGCATATGTTGGAACGACAAACAAGCATGGCTTGACAAAGAGAGGCACGCTTAGAAACGTGAGAATTATAGTTTCTTTAAACCAGTGGTTCTCAACCTTTTTAATGCTGCAACCCCCAACTGGTCGTAAGTCGAGGACTACTCAACCGGTCGTAAGTCGAGGACTACTCAACTGGTGCAGCACCGTTTGCAGAATGGGACTTTTGGCGGGCTCAGCAGGGCAGAGACAGCCTGGACAATTCCTATTGGCTTTTGAAAGCAAATAGAATTAGACTATATTCAAGAGAGTCTATTCTATTGGCTTTCAAAAGCCAATAGAATAAAAGGGAGTAGCACAGCTAAGGAAAAGGGGAAAAAAATGGCTGACTGCATTGTTTGGCGACCCCCGTGAAATGGTCATTCGACCCCAATGGGGTCCCGACCCACAGGTTGAGAACCACTGCTTTAAACCATAATTCTTTTCTTTAAAAGGAAAATAGTGTGTGATAAAAGCAAACAGTTGTCCAAATAAGAAAAAATCTCCATATGGTATGAAAACATATATTCTGAATTATTTCTCAGATCAAAAGTTGTGTATCAAAGTGTATTATTTACACTAAAATACATATATTTGGCGAAATTCATACTAAAATAAATGTGAATTTTTATATAAGCTTATAAACAGTGCAGACTGTAAATGAATGATAACAAAGATTTTATACTGCATATAGAAACTTAATATAGATTGAAAATCTATCCATACAAATATTAATTAATGCAATCTAGATTGTTGCTTTCTAGACTGCTTATCTGCAAATGTTGAAATTCACTAAGAAGGAATGAACATACAAATCATATACTGGATGCTGTTTTTCGAGGTAACTTTGGGATGTATGAATAGAATAGTGGTAACTGAAACTAATAGTATTAGAATAGAATCATAAACTTGATAGATTTGATGTGAGTACCCTACTGAACCTGTAAATTACGTGCAGCAGCTATATTTTAAAAAGCAGGTTAAGGGGAAGAACAAAAGCTAAATTCAATTTAAACTTAGATTTAATTACCTTTTAATGCATTAAATAAAATGTAAGATGATAACTCCCTTGTATTTATCTTTTTTGACATATTAAAAATGATATTTCTGTGGGGACTCTGGAGGTTGTAATAGTAATTTGGGGAAATATGTGTCGCTTTGGGCAATGCTGTGCATTCTGATCCAGCATATCCATTTTACGACACAAATAAAAATAAAAAAACCTTGTGCACTCTGTTACATAAATCAGTGAAATGTTAGAGCATACTGTAATATTTCTATTACCTGAAAAAGTAATTGCTGTAATATGCTAAGGAAACAAGCTTCATCAGAAACCCTCTCAATTATTTTAAAAAAAATGTTTAGGATTGTTCTGCATGCTGAGTCCAGAGCAGCATCCTCTTCTTATTTCTAAGATAATTTCTTGTGTTCATTATAATAATTTGTACCTGTTTGGCTTCTTAGTCCAAAGAAAAGTCTTGAAGGTATTAATAGAATGTAGCTAATTTTGTTCAGCTCACCTTGAATGAGTTCTGCTTCCACCCACTGCTCCTTTGTTTTTACGTTGCTCTTCCAACCACCTTCGGTTCCCTTTCTGCCTTTAAAATAAAAAATAAAAATGAAAGACAAATGACTATGCAGCAACCATTACTTAGTATTAAAGTTTTATCATATATTAAATACAATGATACCTGAATCTGAAAGATAATTCTCCGGTTTTTCTTCACCCAGAAGCTTAGTTGAGATGGGAATAAATACTTAGGCCACATCCTACCACTGGTTTCACAGTGCCAGTCAGTGGCAAGCCAGGAGGCACTACCCAAGAATAAATTAGGACTCGGAACTAAAAGCAAGACCAGAAATCCAAGACACTCTAAATATTGAACTATGTGTGATTTAGAGCATGGCTTAACTGGAAACAAATAAGCTTTTCACACCAGTTCTTTGGTCAGGGCAGCCATATTTCACTAGAGGTTATTGTTAGGTGACTTGCCTTCATGGATAGTGTGTTCCTAATAGCTCAGAAGCTAAGCTAAGCTCAGAGGCACTAGATCAGGGGTCTTCAAACTTGTAGACTTCAACTCCCAGAATTCCTCAGCCAGGCACCCTGGCTGAGGAATTCTGGGAATTGAAGTCCACAAGTCATAAAAGAGCCAAGTTTGAAGACTTCTGCACTAGATGGTAGACAAAGCATTTGACCATTTTGTGGTCTGTCTTATTTAGAACAAATGAACAATAGAGATGAATGCAAAACATTGAATGGTGAGTTATTGTATTAGGACATTGCCATTGTAATATTGAGCTTAGCTTCTATGACTACTTTTATCAACCCAATCTATTTTAAAAATACAAATGATGACAAATTATTGCTGGTAGGACAATTAATTTCCTGATTATTCAATGAAAAAAAAGCCACAAAAACATGGCACTACGTGAAGTATGCATCTTACTTGTTTCACTTCTTACTAGCCTCTCTTTTGTGTAAAGCTACAGTTCTGTCACCCCTATCACTTCATTGCATTAGTTCAGTCCTAGAATGGGTTCTATATTTACTGACAATGAATACAATGTTGTCTGAACAGCTCTGGCTGCGTTCCCTTTCTCTGGGAGAAAAACCAGGAACAAGCCTAGATGATTACTCCTTTGCATATAAATCTCAGGACTAATTGTATATTGTGAACTGGATTAACTTCAGACCCTAAAATCCTTACTTACAAAACTATCCTACATTATACATGTATTAAAAGCTAATTACTACTCCATAGTATAAAGAGTGACACACACAGAGAGACAAAAAGTACCTTGCAAAACCTCATCAAAGGCTATCTTTTTAGTTCTGGTGTTCTGTGAGCAATCTTTTAGTCTTGCACTGAGGTACTTCGTTTATTTAAATTTAGGATATATTCACCACCAGCTGAACCCTTCCACCCATGAAAATCAGTGTTTCATCTGGAAAGCAGTAGCAAAAACTGACTTCACTTGCTATGCTTGTTTAAGGAACAGTTACTGTGGTGGAATTGGCTGGGTGCCTGTGAATCAGAGGTCACCTGGCAAATCCACAAGAAAACACATTAGCACAAAGTGGTTGTTTGAGCAGGCGTGATTAAAAAAAACCTCTCCATTCGGCCTACCTCCATGGTCTTTAACAAAAGGCCACATGGCTGTTTTTTTTTATTTGTTGCAGTAGTTTCATTGCCAAATATTTCCATGAGTGGTAAGGACTCTTCCACTCCCCCGCCCTTTTTTTCATTAGGAATTCTTTTTCATTTGTTTTGTTCCAGTTTCAGACAAGGGGAAAAACAGGTTTAAATTGGTGGAATAGCATAGACAAGAATAATTGCTCAACAAAACTGCACCAAACCATGGACTGTTTTTATTTTTGCTTAAGTGAGGTACAAATTTATAAACTGAGGAATCTCCTAATTATATTTTATTTTTTCCCCTTAAATTTTTATTTAAATACATTTGAATTTGAATGAAATACCAATTTTATGATAGAGGAATATTAACTGTTGTGAATTCAGTAGCAAATTCACTTAAATAAGAACACTGCTTTGATTTGAAGCAGAAATATCGATAACTTCACTGTTCACTGTTGAAATGTATACTACTGTAATACTGTACGTTGTCTCAGAATTTCTGCCCATTTTGATGTATTAAATTTGGACTTTCAACTAATATTTCAAAAGATAATCATTTCTACTACTTTTCATGCTCTTGGGAAAGGACAGTAAAATGTTTTTTAAAAAGCATTTTCCTGATTTTTATATTTCATATTTTCTAATGCTCTAAAAAAAATCAAAATGAATCTTAGTGTGCACTATTGGAGATATATTTTTCCCTAAAGCAACCATCTTCTTCTGATACCTCTACTGTTTGTAGACAATGTACCATAATGGCTGAATGGACTGGAAATTTTTGTCACTAATATTCTTCCCCCAAAACAGTTAGATAACAATAGTACTGTGGAAGACTATAGTAAGGCAGCCTCCACAAGGGGGGAATTCTTTTATTAAGAGAAAAGAAAATAGCACAAAAACAATTTAATTTGTTTTCCAAATTCACCCAAATTTTTTCCTGGCAAGGGATGGAGAACATCAAGATGACCAAAAACTAGGTCAAACATTCCATCAAAAGTCAAAGTATTCTCAAGGCAGGTTGTTCCACTGATTGATTGTTTCAATTGTCAGAACTAAGGAGAAACTTCCTGACAGTTAGAACAATTAATCAGTGGGACAATCTGCCTCCAGAAGTTGTGAATGCTAACCAAGAACTAGGTAGATTACAAAAAAGCAAACGAACATCCAGATTCTTCTATTTTCACAGGGGTTCCATTCTTGCCACTATACTGCGAAGAACAAATATAATAACCTATATTGAAAAATGGAACTCAGTGAAAGAATGCAGGAAAACAATTGGATAGGAAGCAAAACATTAAATAGTGCAAAAAGAGTTTAAGCATTAGCCTGGCAAAAGTGAAGAGGCTGCCATAATATAGGCCAAATAAATGTCAAAGGGTCACTTCAAATAAGGGGATACATAATACTGTAAACTGAACTTAGATCCTTCAAGGCCACTGTTTAACCAAAAAAAAAAAAAAAAAAGCATAGAAATGTAAAGAAATGAGCATTTAAGTAATAAAAAAGTAATTTAATTTAAAGGAATGACTAACATAATACTGAGCTCCAAAGAGCTCCTTAAGAGTTAACCTCCATCTACCAACACTTATTTCTTTTTTATGCAGATATCTGTAATTTCTAGCTGTTGTTGCCAGCTTGTCCCTTCAGAGCACTCCAGATGTACTCTGATGTTTTGAAGATTTCCAAGTTATCTCTTAAAAATTCTTGAAGCTGTTCTCCAACCACTGATTATTTTCTTATTTGGGGATAATCAAACCACAAACAAAGGCTGAAACCTGGCTCTACTCAGCCTAGGAACAGGATACTGCCAGCCACAAAATCCCACTTTAAAAACAAAAAAAACAAACAGCTCCTAGTAATGAAAATGTTGTCCATCTTGCTACATGTAGAAAGCATGATCTTAGCAGGGACATATCCTGCAAGAGATGCTGCACACTAACTTTTCAGAGACTTTGTTTTATTCATATGCAAATGAACATGCAAATGTATTTATTTTAGTGTGCGGTTAATTGAATTGACTGGCAGCCATAGCTTTCTCTGAAACCCTGAAATTGGTAATGGTCATCCTAGGGGCAAATTTCACTGCTAACAATACTGTTGAGTTGATTTAGCACAGAAATCCTGCAGATAAAGTGACTTGCTCAATAATGAGATTAAAATTCTGGTGGTGACAGAAAGAAATGCAATTTCCAGGGGGTGTGCATGAGATAACAAGAAATCTGTTCATGCTTCTTAACATTTAAATAATGTTCCTATAATCAGGAAATGTATTATTGCTTTTTGTTTAATGGTTAATTTATTGATGACCAGTTTAATGAATTAAGATATTGTTTAAAAATTCCCCAGAAATAGTTCTTCTGCAGTGTAAGAGAGGAATCTGCTGATCACCATTTACGTTATATTTATAAAACATTAGTCTGCCCTAAAAACGTATCTGACTATAATGCTGACTGACTATATTCTATGGATAACAGTACTGTATTGTTTAAAGCATTGATATTAATAAAACAATTTGTTTCTATACTACCAGCTGCTACAAAGTACCAGTAAGTCAAACATTTGAACTACAGGCTTGGCAAGAACAAAAATATTTCAGCAAAAATTTAGTAATATCAACATCAGCAATATAGTAATATTTTATTTCGCTAAAACACTACAACAGAGCAATTTAATTGATCAAAAGCTTAGATATCATCCTTTTTACACTCAAGCAATTTTAAACTCTTTTGTTAATGTTCTTGTTTGCCTTCTACAAATTTGTCTGGGTAGCCAAACTTAAACTGTGCAAGAGTACAACATAATTTCCCTAGCACTCATATTCACACCCTACAAACTTCCAGTTTCTGAACTCATCCCTACAGCTATCTTATACACAAAATATTTGATGTATAACACTAAATTGTCAAATAACGGTATAGTATGCTGTCAAATCACAAAACTGGTATGCAATGATTTAAATTTAAGTCCTCATTATTTGCTTCCGGGGTCCTAAGGTTTTACAGTTCAGATGTTGCAACATTTTATTTTAAGTGAAATGCTAATAAACAGCAGAGACTACATCCATTAGAATATGATTTATAATCACTGACTTTACATTTTAGAAGGGAATTCTTCATAAATAGGACTAGGAGTTTTCAGGCCTCCACCATTCCCTCAGTTTACTCCCTCCCCAATTAAATTTAGCTGTTAGTAACAGCACTTCAAACCTCCAAAAACCAATTTAGATTAGAGTACAACTTCTATTGGCTCAACAGTCACTCTAGGATTTATATGGATGTCACCGAAGTATGAAATCATGAGAGGACAACACCCATTTTGGGACAGAATATCAGAGGTTTTCAAGAGATGAAATGCCTTAAACATCTGCAAGATAACGACATGATTCCTGGCTTTCCCTCTGCTATGCTGGAGAGAGAGAGAAAAAGAGAAGAGGACAACCCAGGGTGCAGACTATCAGGGTTCTCCCTCCTCAAATGGGATTGGACCCACCAGAAGTATGCACCCTATCGGAACCTCCAATATAAACTATAGATTTCCTGAAACACCTTTAATGTGCTTCAAAGCACAATAGAAGCTTTCTTCGTTTTATGTAGGACAACCAGGGCTACAGTCCCATCAATGAACATGAATGGATATTGGCCGAAATGGGAAAGAATGGGAATTATCTGATCTGAGGCAACTGTTATCTATAACTTATTTTTTATTTCTGGAATAAATCCCCTGAAATACAACAGTAAGCAAATCTTACTAACTCTTCCAAAAAAAGTAATTAAGTGGAAATGAAGTTTATCTAGAAGCTGAGTTACATGTTTGAGTTATTAGAGTTAAATACAAAACACTTCAATGAAATATATGATGTCAATGGTTAAGTATTTATTTGTAAAGAAAATTATTTAGAAGAACTAGTGGTGAGCAAACAAATGTAATAAATAAAAAATAATTTGGCCTTGAAAGAATCTGCAACTGCACAACTATGTAGGTGGCAACATTATTAGTTATATACAGTATTTGTATTAGAAGTATGTTTACATTGCTTCTCACTGCAAAGAATCCTGTTTTATTTTATAAAGCTAATTTAACTATAATAATTTAAAAAACAATACTATAATACACTTACAAGATAAACTAAGAAAACATTTCAAAGCACCAATATTCAACACAAATTTGAAAAGGCATATTTAAAGCTCAATAGAAAAAAATAAGTTTCCAGCATTATTACTACCTGGTAATTAAACCAGGCAGAATCTTAAACATAAATACATCATCGGGACTTTGATTTGAGTTCTTATTTTCAGGAAGAATATATCTAACTACTTAAAATTAATATATAAAGTTCTCCTTGGCATTGCAATAGGTTAAATTTAAAATCTCTGTGAAGTTAAGGATATATTGCTTTGGACTACTTTGTTCCTTCCTTGCTTGGTTAAGTAAAAAACTCCTTTTGCCCTTCTTCATTTATGGTAAATTACTTTGGTGGTGATAAATTATGGGTCTCAAGTCAAAAAGACAAAACAACAATCACATCCAAACAACAATCCAAAACGGAAAGCAGCAGGAAAAGCCACATAGAAAGCAAATTAGGTGCAAATTAGATCAACTTAAAAGCTTTCCCTCATGATATGCATCTTTTAAAATGACTGAATTTATGCAGTCATAAATGAATTGCATAAATGAAATCTTTTTTTCTTGAAGATTAGCAGAGATAAGTTGATTAGTTAGTAAGAAATGACAGAGATAAATAGCCATTACATGGAACAAGAATCACAAAGTTTGAAAATTCCAATAAAAAGCATATCACATTGAAACAAGTGTTGAAAAGAAAGATATTCAAGATTACTTGACCTTTCTACAGGGTCTATTTCACATAAATAATTTATGATTTTTAAATGTTCCATACAACAATGAACAAGGCAAAGCTATAGGACCCTTTAAGAAGAAATTTAGGTATGAGATTTTTTTCACTGCAGTCAGCATACAAACTGGAGTGTGAAATTACTTTCTGTAATGTACAGGTTTCTGTACATTTGTATTCAGGTGACATTTTAAAGGTCTATAATAGTATTATAATTATATAATATATCCATTATATTATAATCGCTTTACTGGCAAGCAAGATCTAGAATGCAAAGTTTATTATTTTTTCAGATCCCACAAATGGGTCAGAAGGAGATTTATTCAAATAAGCCTAGTTTGGCAACAAAAAGTGATTTTCCCACCTCACCCTCGCTTTTCCAAATTTTGGTTGTTGTTTTATTTCAGGATTCCAATAAGAATCTTTTTAGTTTAAAACCCATTATTGACACAATTGGAAGGGTATTATGGGGCTCTATCTTGGGAGGCTCTTGGTTCCTATTTTTAGGATTATGCTAAATTTTACTACATTCATTGCATTTATAGCAACCAAATGATTTAGCAAGAGACATATATCAGCCATATTTCAGTCTCTTATTTGAGATTTATACATTTAAGTTCATAAAATTTTCAGTTAAAGCTTTCTCAAGGATGGGTTTGTCAGAAACTGCAAACATGCTGATTTCCCATCACACAATTTAATCACACAGAGCCATTCTGAGCATTCTGCTGAAAACTGAGGACAACCTTTCTTTTAAATTAACATTATAGCTTAAGTTGTACACTTGTTCTACCAACAGTAATTTTCAAAATATTACAAACAATCCCAATCCCAGCAGTAACTTTTAAGGTTTTCTCTACAGCTCTATTAAAATAAGCACAATTCCAGTATATCAACTATCTCAAGCTCCCAGTCGTTGAGTTATAGTTTAATATAAATGTTAAGCCTTTTATCCACATATTCTCCCATTGTTCAAGCATCACATTATACCCAAAATTCCTTGCCTACTGGATTCATACAGTGTTTTTCATGTTCATTTTCTAAATTCAATTTTAATAACGTTTTATAGACCTTGGCAATAATATGATCATCACTACCGCATAGTAAAATTTCCAATTCATTTTTAGCAAACTCAAACCCAGGGCTTTTTTTTATCTAGTTTAAATCTTTTCTTCATTTGTAGATATGTAAACTAATGGCAAACGTGATCTTCTAATTCTAGTTCTTCCTTAGACTTAAGGGCGGGATCTCCAAAATTGAAAAGCTTCCCGGGGGGATACCCACGGAGGCAATTTTGTAAAGAACCTTATTTTATATTTATTCAAAACTCTTTTAATATGGCACATCTAAAAATGATTATTAAAATCAACATTTACTTTAACTTTATTGTCCCATAGATAACCTTGCTATCCAAACCTTAATTCATGGCCTTCCAAATCAAGTAGCCTTCTTGTTCTGGAGGTTCACCCACTCTTTCAATTAGACCAAACAGCATGCATCATAGTATAATTTCAAGTCTGGTAAACCCAAACTCCCTCTTTCCTTAGCATCTTGCAATAGCTTGTATTTGATTTTGGGTTTCTTTCCTTGCCATATAAATTTGGAAATATCCCTCCACCATTGTTTAAATGGAATATTTAGTGCAAGTATTGGTATTGTTTGGAACAAAAAAAAAGCATCTTTGGTAAAACATTCATTTTAATTACTGAAATTAAAATATTTTTTTACAAGATGATGTATCGCTGGTATTTAACACCAGATAAGTTATCTAGAACAGGGCTTTTCAACCAGTGGTACAGGTACCACCTGTGGTACATTGGCACCTGGCAGGTGGTACGCGGCCATCCTAGAAAATTGGTAGCGGGGGAGGGGAATGAGCTGAACCAATGGCAGCACTGCACAAGCCTGAGCGAGAGATGGCTGGAACTGCAGAGATGTCAGGGCTCAGCGGAAGTGCCAGGATGTGACGCTTTCCAGCTGATTGGCACTTCTTCAGGACTGTCAGGGCTCAGTGGAAGCGCCAGGAACAGCGCTAGGCTCCAGCTGGAGTTTGGCGCTGATCCTGATGCTTCTGTTGAGCCCAAAAGAAGCGCAGATCAGCTGGAATACTGCAGCATTTCCAGGGTCTTGTGATTTATATTCAGTTGCTTGGCAACTGATTCATATTTATGATGGTCACAGTGTCCCAGGGTCATGTGAAGTGACCAAAACCTGCTGCAACCACCCAGCAGACAGGGAAATAAAAACCAAACACCCCCCACCCCACCCCAGCTACCAATCCTCAACAGAAATGCTCACAACAATGAAAACCTTGGACAGGAGGAAGAGTGCCACCAGGGGGCAGGCAGGTGTCTTGCTCGGCTGTGGCTTGGGGGGCACTTTTTTCAGTGCCATTATAACTTTGAACAGTCACTAAGCAAACTGTCGTAAGTTGAGGACTACCTGTACTTTATCACTTTTTTTCCTTTTTTGGGGGGGGGGTCAAGTTTTTGACACCTTGCTAGGTGACTGGTGGTACTCGGATATTGCCATATCCTAAAAGTGGTACAATGGGTAAAAAGGTTGAAAAGCCCTGATCTAGAATATATAACATTCATTTCAAATGAATGTTGGAAATGTAAATGTAAAGAAGGGACTTTTTATCATTTATGGTGGACATGTGAAAAAGCAAAGAAATATTGGAGCAGGATTCATACATTACTGCAGAAAAATCTTAAAGTGAACATAAAGATTAAACCAGAAACTTTTCTTCTGGATCTAATGGAAAGAGAATTTGAAAAAAACATTGGAACTCTGATTCTATATATGGTGACAGCAGCAAAACTGCTCTATGCATAAAAATGGAAGGAAGCTTCGATTCCCACCATGGACGAATGGTTACAAAAGCTCATGGAATTAGCAGAGATGGCTAAATTGACTCTTTGAATAAAAGAAAAGAACATATGTACTTTTGTTCCTGCTTGGAAACCACTTCTGGACTTTGTGCTTGAGGTAGAAAAAAATGATACTATGATTTTGGGTTTTACTGATTAGACTGATTTGTTGATACAGAAACGGCTAGTTTATACTATAGAAATGTAAAAAGTTGAGATTTAGTCTTATTTTACTGCAACAGAGGAAGTTGGAAATCAACGCCATTTGTTTCTTCCCCTCCCCTTCTCCACACTTTTTCACTTTCCCTTTTCCCATTGTCATCCCTTACTATTTGTTTTTGTATTTTCATATTTTTGTTATAAATAAAATTATTTTTTTTAAAAAAGCACCCATAGTTGTTGGAAGTCAGATAGTGTACAAATTAAATAAAAAACTAATATTTCATAAAATAGAACTGCCTTGATTCTGTGACAGTAATGTGGAAAGACCTGCCTACATTCTTGCCAAGGCTTAGTGTGAAATCTAGAATGATACATTACATTTATTTTTAATTACTTACAATTTATTCATTTTCCCCAATCCCAAGATCTCCACACCATACATAACAGCAAAACAATTTTTCTTTGGAATATATTTACGGCAGGTATCTCTAGATGTTCTTCTGAAGGGGGGGAAAAAGGAAAGCAAGTTTCATAGATCTTATAGCTGTTGTCTTTTCATATGATATATGAGCTTTGAAGGACACAATGTGAGAAATGAGTATCAAGATATTTAAATGAACTTCTACTACACTGCCATCAAGAGTCCATTTATGTTTACCAGACTTTTTGGACAATACAATTTTTGTCTTCAGGCTGTTGGTTTTAAAAAAATTTATTTCTGTAATATTTGCTGAGGATCCTTCCCATATCAATTTGTGTCTTGGAGAGTAATACTTATCATCTGCATATGGCAATAGAGAAATCACCTATTTATTGATGAGCGCAGGGAAAAAAGGAGAGGAAAGCAGTGGATATTAACTAAAATAAAGCAGACCACTGCATATCATTTATCAATAAATTGAACATATGTTATCTGAAATATCTTATTTTAGTAATATAAAAGCATACATTTAACATAATATATTCGCGCGGGTCACATCCTTTCTGAATTAAATAAAATTTGATTGTCACATATTTGAGTCTTAAAAATATATTTACATCACTATCCTACAAAATCATCTACATTTTTATACTGACCCCATGACCTTGGTATTAGATGCCTTTCTGTAATATTGAGAATTTTATTATAATTTCAAATATTTTTCCTAAATTGGTATTAAATTTATGGGCACTGTTTTGAATATTAAAAAGTAGGGCTGGCAATATTTTAGATTCAGTTCCAAAATGTTGCTTTCAGTGTACGGGAATATGGCTGTCTGCAACTTTTCACTCGATCTAAAAAGTATTTTGGTCTCATCTGTCCACAGAGCATTCTCTTCCAATAGTTTTCTGGCTTATCCCCATAATATACACAATGCTTTTTTTCTAAAAAAAAAAAAAAAAAAGGTGCCGGAACTCACACATGTCATACAACCCGCCTTGCCTACCCTACAAGGTTCCATCCAAAAAAGGTGCCGGAACTTCATTCTGGGCGTTCTAGGAGAAAAAAGGCCCTGAATATATAGTACATAATATACATGTCCTTGGTGCTCTCCTAGCTTTGTTGTTTTCTTGCAGATAAAGTTTCATTACCAAATTAGATAATATCATCAGTGATATAGCTTTCTCCTTGCAATCCTTCCATATGCAAATATGTAGCTTTGGATCATTTTCCTCAACAGTTAAATAAACAAGTATAATGTTCTTGATTCATTTGTTTAATTGGATTCTCTTTATTTAATTTTAGGATTTGTATAGAAAACAGATCACATTTTATGTCGTATTTATGCAGAAACATTGAACATCAAAAGGATTCCAAAATATAAGCATCACTGTATTGACACCGTCAAAAACAATCAAACATTTAAGCACAGGCAAAAATTTAACCACTGAGATTTAATAGTCTGAGGTGTTGGGTTTTCAAATCTGTTTTTATTTTTAACATGCATTCTAAAAAATCCTGCAAAATAGTATTTTTTTAAAAAATGTTTAAAACTTACAAAAATAAACATGTTTCTTTCTCTTTGATAACTGTCATAATATCTTATTCATTACACTTTTTAAAAAAACAAATAGACTGCAGTTGCTGAAAAAAAAGACATGGTGTCCATCTCTTCTTATCTTCTGCGTAGGCACTTTTTTCTTTGGCTTGTTTAGTATCATTATGACATTCCTGATGATAAATGATACATACTTGTGCATCTGTTCTTTTTCTGAATAGGCTTTTATAATTCTTTGAAGGGCACAGGAAGGATGTGGGATCCTTTCGATTCAATTGAAGCAAATTAGCCTTATGTTGCATGCTACAAAGTAATGCTCATGGTACATTTAAGCATGAAAAAAGGAAGGAAACGTACCATACCATCCTATGTAAATTAACAAATTTGCTGAATTCCAAATTGCATTCGTCCTCATAATAATTCATAAATGGTTACTTTAAGGTAAAGTATTATGAATGTTTGCCAAGAAGTACTGGGAAGACCTTTTTTTTTTTAAAAAAAAGCCAGCTATTTATTTATCTTATGAAGGGATGACTACTCAGACACATGAGAAGGAATATGAATAAATGTAATGTTTTATCAATCCATAAACCAATTATCCCTCCATAGAGTTGGAACTGCAACTCCAACAACTGCCAGCCAATATAATCCTTGGTTAGGAATTCATTCCAACATAGCTGGCAGATGCCAGTTTTAGAGAAACTGGCATCTCTATAGACTTTGGTAGGTTCAAAGAAACTCTAATTGAGTGGGCATCATGTTTCCTTTGGTAGAAGGTTGTGTAGAATGGCTGTGTAAAGCCTGCAAAAGGCAGGCTCTGTAAAGCATCTTTAGCATAACTAAAGTGTGTAGTCCTCTGCAAAGTGTGGAGCAACCAAGCTATTTCAAAGCTTGTACAGTTGCTTCAAAGGTTGTCCTCAGCTGTCTGCATGTATATGCCAGGGAAGCAAGTGTGCATGCAGCAAATGTGCAAACAGCTGAGGACAATCACTGAAGCTGCCTTGTGAGTCTTCCAGGGGTTACAGCTGCTTAAACACTTTGAGAAGGATTGCGCTCACTGTAACATGTTCTGCAGGACTTCTCAACTGCAAGCATTTCTAGCAGTAGAAAGAGAGCCACCATTAGATCAGCAGCATACTCACAGTCAACTCTTTCTTTCTCAAGTTAAACAGCAAGGCACAAGTTTGCTAGAAGCTTTTTTTTTTTTTTTTGGTAATATCTAACAGCACGTGGCTGCAGGGAAGGAAAAGAATCTTGTGGCATAAAATCTTTTAAAACTCAAGAAAGATTTTATCTAATCCAGACTGCTAGTACATTAAGTGCTTAGAATAGCATTAAGAGTTTTTTTATATTACACATGTGCTCAAGACAAATAACTGGCTTCCTTCAAATCTATTTTTCTGTGAAGCTTAATCTACACTGGTCCCAATGTTGTTGTTTTTTGTTTGGCGAAACTTAATTGTTTTTCTTTAAGTCTACCATCTGTCCATTTTTATTGCTGTTGTGTGTTCCTTATATATCTAAATCAATGTTAAACAAATATGTTTATTGCCATTTTATGTCTGGATTTTTAATGTACTAATATACAGGTAGCCCTCAATTTATAACCAGAACTAGGATTAGAACTTTGGCCGTGAAGACAGGATGTAAGTAAGTTATACTAGATTTTATGACCTTTGTAGCTATGGTTGTTACATGAATCTCATGGTCTCTAAGTGAATCTGGCTTCCCCCATTAAGCTGGGAAGTCACAAATGGCAATTATATGATCTGGGACACTACAAACTTTCTAAATAAATGCCAGTTGTCAAGTATCCAAAATTTGATCACGCAACCATGGGGATGCTGTGATGGTTGCTAAGTGCAAGGATCAGTTGTAAGTCATTTTTTTCAGTGCCCTCGACAAATGAACAATCATAAATCAAGGACTACCTGTATTTCAATAGGCCTTGACCTTATTAGGCTGAGTATCAAATAATGGCCTAAGATCCTCTCATATTTCTCAAGTAGCATAACTGGCAGGCAGTTCTTTTGTGTGAATTTTTTTGGCCTTGTTCCTATCATCCTGACTGAAGGGAAGAAAAGAGGATGGGGTGGCAGTGAATAACAGTTGAAGGACATTAAACACTGCCCTAGCTCAGGCTATCTTGGTTAGATACAGCAACCTAGCTAGTGAGTGAAAACCTTGCAGTTTCTTTCAAATGCACTGCAGAGTCTTAATACAGAGGCTTTCCCCATTCTCTGAAGCAGAATCAAAAACTTTGTATAGTTATTGTAACTTTTACATTCACTGAGTATGCTAACATCGGAATAACTGTGTACACTTTACATCAGTAAGATGTAAGAGTCTGAAAGGCAACTTGAGGCGCTTCAAAATGCTGGAAGGACAGATAAAATAAGAGATAAAACCAGACAGAATAAGACGACAACCTAAATACGTTTATACCTAACATATTAGAACGCATATAATTGAACACAGCAGACTTAGTAAAACACATAGGAATCTATAGAAGAACCCAGCAACCTCCTCATTTCTATATATTGAGGCACTTCAGCCAGGATGTTTTTCATTTTTTAATCTTCCAAGCCATTCCAAATCATTTTTCTTTCTTTTCTGCTTGCTGCCACTGCTTTCAACTGACTGGGGAAAAAAACCCTCTGGTTTTGGCCCTCTTTCACTTCATGTGTAGCAGAAATAATCATAAACTGCAGGATCCAATCTGAATCAGTCACCAGGACCACAGGTTTGTTCTTCCAAGCTTTTGGACTTGTGCAATAGCCCATCCACCAGCATGAATCTGAAAGCTTGGAAGAACAAACCTCTGGCCCCGGTAACTGACCCAGATTGGAACCTGCAACATTATCCTGGAAAATGTATACTTCCCTTCAGTCACATAATCATAAACTGCCTAGAGAAAATTGTTGTCTCTTCCACAGATGGAGACGAGTGCATTTAATTCCTGATCGGTCACTTGGGCGAACCAGTTGACAGGGGAAATTAATTTAACCCAAGCAAATCAGGCACTGTTTGAAGCTAAATCTAATTGAATAGAATAGAGCTGGAAGGGACCTTGGAGGTTTCTAGTCTAGCTCCCTACTCAGACAAGTGACTGTCTAGTCTCTTCTTAAAAATCCCCAGTGATGGAGTGCCCACGATTTCTGAGGGCAAGCTGTTCCACTGGTTAATTGTCCTCACTGTCAGGAAGTTTCTCCTTAATTCCAGGTTGCTTCTCTCTTTGGTTAGTTTCCAACCATTGCTTGTCTTGCCTTCCAGTGCTTTGGAAAATAATTTGACCCCCTCTTCTTTGTGGCAGCCCCTCAAATACTGGAACACTGCTATTGAGTCTCCCCTATTTCTTTTTTAATTGACTTTGGCTTAATTGGCTGGAGTGATCCAGTTTGCATGACATAGTTCCCCTTTCTAATAACTTACAGCAGATCCAAACTTCCAGCTTACCCAAGCATAAACCGCCCACCATTTCTAGAGAATACTAATGCATGAACTTATTCTCAACCACGTCC